ATTAATTCGTTTTTACGAAATATTATTTCGTAATTACGAAATATTATTTCGTAATAACGAAATATTAATTCGTAAAAACGAAATGTTATTTCGTAATTACGAAATAATAATTCGTAAATACGAAATAATATTTCGTAAAAACGAATTAAATTTTTTCTAGCGTTTCAAAGAGTTTTGGTAATAGTTATAAATAAGGCCTCAAAACTAAGTTCCTGACTTAATATAAGGCATGTACATGCAATATAAATAGTGATTTTTGTTCTCCCCAAGTTTTTTAACTTTACACTATTGTACATAAATTAAAATATTCGCATGTCAATAGCGTTGAGCCACAGCCGTGATAGTACACGCGCTAGGAAAATTTACTTAAAATAGGGGTCCTGTGCTTCAAATCCATACACGGACATTTCTAATACTAAATTGTGAGGAAATATTCATTTTAAATTGATTAGATTAGTGAAATCTGGACCAACCCACTCCTCGTCCCATTAGTTTTACTTATGTATATGATAAAAGAACGGAATAATATAGCATGTTTCTGTTTTAAAGATACATGTCGTAAAAGATTGCCTCAAACATTAAAACATTGCTGATAGGAACATGTATTTGACAATGGGGAAAAAAGACCATTTTGGATAGAGAATGACTTCTCACTCAAAAACCCTGTTCACTTAAATATAATAACTTGAGAACCATTCGGCTTATAATCGCAAAGTTGATCAAGGCATGTAAATGACCCATTTGTGAGATTAATAGGTTCATTATCAAGCTCAAAATGACCTTAAATAAGATTTCGTAAAAACGAATTAATATTTCGTAATTACGAAATAACATTTCGTTTTTACGAATTAATATTTCGTAATAACGAAATAATATTTCGTAATTACGAAATAACATTTCGTAAAAACGAATTAATATTTCGTAAATACGAATTAATATTTCGTAAAAACGAATTGATATTTCGTAATTACGAAATAACATTTCGTTTTTACGAATTAATATTTCGTAATAACGAAATAATATTTCGTAATTACGAAATAACATTTCGTAAAAACGAATTAATATTTCGTAAATACGAATTAATATTTCGTAAAAACGAATTGATATTTCGTAATTACGAAATAACATTTCGTTTTTACGAATTAATATTTCGTAATTACGAATTAATATTTCGTAAAAACGAATTAAATGCCGGGGGAAAAGTGTCGAGAATGTCACCTTAGGGGCTCCGTAGAAATTAGCAGACCATTAATATATTTTATTGCCGCCTAAACTCGCGTGCTTTACGGTTAAATATCGCGCATTCAGCATCAACAAAGAACGAACGCTTATCGTGCAATTATAACTATCATCCAGTGTCCGAAATTTCCACAGGGATCTGGCAACGATACGTTCCTCTGATGGTCAACCAAGTTAGAAATGTGCTGTCAATTCTTTATTTTCATCTAAATACATCATATTGTACAAAATGTAGCGAAATGATTCTTTACAATGACGTCATATTGAGATTATCCAATTAATTTTGTCTCCATACCTGAATGTAAATATACTTTAAAAATTGCATTGCCATTTATTACTTGAAATACAACTTGTTTTATATTCCGTGTAGCATGTAGCTTTTCCGGCCATTATGTCGCCTTATCTGGCAGCAACGCCAATGTGACGCAATAGTTTTTGGCGCCAAAAGTGAACATTGTCAGGTCATTACAATTTTACGAATTTTCTAAAATTCGTACTCAGTAAATATGACATATGAAAAAAATATCCGCCATACATGTGTAGTGTCAATGTTTTCAACACATTACTTAAAAACTGAACACTTTTAGAGAACGTGTGCCGGTTACTTTGTTAAACGATTGCTGTTTTTTATTATTAAACGGTTAAGCGTATTTTTGAACGATGTTCTTTAATATGTACAATAATGAATTTAGTTCTTACATAATATATATGTCAAACGTTATAAGAATAAAAGAAAAGACTTCTAGGCATAACTTATTATCCAGAATCTGTAAGCAGCCATTCATTAAAATAAAAGGTAAATGGAAAACGTCCACAGGCTTACTCAATTTTAAAATGTAGGCAAACAATTTTAGAATGTAGGCAAACATTTTAAGAATGTAGGTTAACAACTTTACTAAGACCCCGCAGATGAAAACAATTTCTTTTAAAATATATTAATGTTGGTTTCTTTAAGTTTTAGAGGATAATGCGAAAACTGCAAGAAGCGTATTCTAAAAGTTATGTTATGTTATGTTACGTTAATTAAGACGTTACGTTATGTGTATGCAACGGTTCTTAAAAGCCCAAGGTGTGAAGCAACAATCCCGGTGACTTCAGTTTAAATTTTCATCCGAAGACTTACAGAAATTTAAGATGGCGATCTCCCGCGTTACAGACTTGACTGTACGTGACCCTGTGTGTCCTGCTCAAAGCAGATCGTTCTGCCCTTTTGAATTACAGTCTGGGTCATTGCGACACTTGCATATTCCATTAACAAAGCACTTAATATGGACAAGAAAGCGCTGCAATCATCGTGATTGTTATAGAGCTGTCAAACGCGCCACAAAAATATTAAACAGGGAGAATAAAAATCTGCTAAAGAATTTACTCAAATAATTGCCGTTTGCCCTTCCTTCAAAGTTGAAACTTAAACAAGATAGACTTTTCATGATTTCAAAAACACATTTGTTAAACAAAAATTAGAAATAGAAATGTGTTAGCAATTCATAATTTTTTGTACCCGAAAGAAAGCTTTCACTGTACGTTCACAATTAACATATATACATGTATGTTTTCTTTTTCTTGTTTATTTCTTTATTGTTTATTGTTTATATGCATGGACCATTCAGTAAAATATTTATAAGGTAAACTGAAATTTAATTCAATCTTTGAGTTGAATTATGATATTAAAATAAAGGAAAGGTCAGATGAACAGAAAGGTTTGTGTAAGATTTATGGCATCTCACGTGTCGTTTGTTTATTTGTTGTATAATTAAATAAACAACATGTTGATTTGCTACTGCTTTTGTGAACAACGAGCACAAAATCTAGTAAAATCATTTAGTAACATTTTCAGAAATGAAACCCCATAAAATTAAGACGAAAACCCCGCGAAAGCGGTCAGGCCATCTCAGAGAGGTGAAGATATTCGTAATTAATTTTTCTTCTCTTCTTTAGTGACATACCGAATATTTTTATCATTTATCAGCGCATATTTTAAATGTAAATGCTGTTTTTACCCTGTCACAAAGAACTAAGTTCAACATTCGGCCATTGTATACATGTACGGCACAAAAAGCTAGCGCGTTCATTATGTTATTCTAGTAACCCGAATATTCGAATTTTGACTGACGGCGCATGTGCACGGTGATATATCGGTGATTATTCTGCGAGATGTTTCAAAAGCGGACAGGTGCAGTATTTATATCTCGGCATATATCAAACTTGCAAAAATTGCCTCCTCAGGGACCCAGTCGTTGGTTGTGCCAACTGACCGAGTTTTAGTGCCAAAACAAACCAATAAAAGAAATAGCTAGAATAACTAAATGCATTGTCTGTGAGATTGTTGCCCACAAATGCTGTACATGCATATAAAAGTGAATTTTCCTAAAAATGTATGTATGTGTACGTACATGAATCCGATACATTTGTAACATGTGGCATAAGTTTTGTCCTTTTTCACACGATTGAATACTAAAATTAAAATTTAGCCAGGTTATAAAACGAAGGGTCTGAAAATATGTATCTTATCCTATACATGGTATTCATCGTCACAGGGCGTTTTATTTGCCTCCTAACTGCATGCCTCCTTTCTGGAGAGTATTCAATTTGTAAGAAGGTAACGGCATAGTCTCGAGTTACGATTTTTCCTATATATAATTTTAGTTCTATTTCTTTTTCCCCCCTGGTCTATATTATCACGATTTTTCTTTAAAATCTTTGAAAACTATTCGCTGGTTGTTTTTCAACACAGTATATAAACAAGTCCCCTTCCTTTATCCGCAAATGGTTCTTTGAAAGTTTAAATATACAGGCTCCCAAGAAGGGTACAGTAATAGCAAGTAGCACGGGCTTGTAATAGCAAGACAGGCACGCATAGAATTATATCGGCTCACAAGACAGGGTACAGTGTGTTTCCTTTGTATACTGTGATAAAAATATCTCGTTTAAGCATTAATGACGAAAGCATGTTATAGAATTCACAGTATTTTATTTTCAGGAATACAGCAACTTATTTCTTCACCCGGGACATTAAACTACGCAGTAAAATAGTCATATGATAAAAACAAAATTAAATAAACACTAAAACTTATTAAATCCGTCCCAGACAGGTTTAGTCAATACTCGTTGATGCATTGCGCACGAATGCAGCACGTTATGTAAAGTAAATAAAAGAATTAGCCGTGGTTATTTCACGTCGACCACTTAATTTACTCCGAGCCAGACGAGTATCTTGTAATATTTACAAAATACCTGTGTAATTTCTATGGACCCAGCGACCTAGTTGTAGATAAACGATTTGACTAAAACCAATAAAGCCCTAGGCGTTGACGTAATCTAACAGTTACGCAGCAGATAGTCATCAATAGAGGTATTATTAGTTCGCCGTATAGTGGTTGTTACGTAATATGATGTCATGTCCATTCGGCAGATGTCGGGCAATTCTCTTGGCGTAACGCCCTCTATATCACTAACGACCAATCAGATTGCAGAAACGGCAAATTGGCGCTAATTGTTCTTTTCTGTCCTTAGCTAACACAGGTTGAGTTTACTTTTCACGAAAAGCAGGGGGAGGAGGTCTTGCCCTAAAATAAGAGAAGAACATCCATCAGATAAACAAGTTCTGAAAGGCACCTTTGTTTGAAAATAATAAAATAGTGATACATTCATATACAATTATACTCGCTTCCTTTTTGAGGAAAACATTGCAAGAATCATAACTAAGCGATAAAAGTTTCCATTAAAATTAATCATGTCTTGTTTACATGCGTGTTTGTTTAAAACAGGCAATCCTTCATTCTATGCTAAAACTACTAAAAGAACAGAAGTCAACTTCTAGACTGCGAATGTGGAGACTGCGAATGTGCACGAAGAAAAAAATAGTTAATATTTGATAGAAACCAACTGTTTCAAATAACCAAGGTAGCTATAGCATATACACGTTTGTGCTGACCGCGGACAAAAGGTCAATCCGCCCTGACTGACCAATGAAAATGGACTCGTCTGGTCAGTTCGCAATGGCCGTTCATGATGTTAGGAAAACCCTTGATAATATGCTTAAACTGGTCAGTTGAAAATAAACTGGACGTTAGTAAACAGACGGAAGTGTTGAGCCTGAAATTAGCAAGTTCTTAAAAGAAACATGATGACGTCACTGGACTTAAAACAAAAAGATTTAGTTCGATTAGGCGTCTGTTATTGAACATGTGGAGATATTTAAGGTAAAAGCTTTAGCGGTGATACTATTTACATGTAAAGAACATTCAGTTGGACATTAATGGCGGACAAGTATACGCATAAATTACTAGTATTAAAGACTTTAAGGACATTATAATAAAACGCTACTTGATGAAATATCATAAAAAAGGTTTTGAAATCTAATTTAAAATATGTTTTAAATGATTTCTGCTTTTTCTGGAAGCAGTTATTTGTGCATTAAATATGTACGGTGAACAAAATGTACAAAATATTACCCCTTTGATACCCATGGCGTCCTTGGGAGTCGCCCCGTACGGTCACCCGCTGACTTCGTACTCTCCCATAAGTTCGCTGACGCAGCCAACGATCTTGTCAACGCAAAGTGGATTTTTGTCAGCGTCGGGAACAACCGGAAGTGCTTTTACATCGCCGGTGATAAACAATTACAGGAGCCCGGATAGTGACAATAGCAATGCAAGTGTGAGTCCACATAGAGATTTGAGTGAAACTTCTTCAAATTCCTCGTCGGATTCAACGCCATCATCTAAGGGACTGGAAGCTAACGCAGCTAAAGAAAGAAAGCGAAAAGGTACGTTAGAAAAGTCACGTTCAAACATCAAATAAATCCGTCTCAGTTAGTAAACTCTCATATTTAGGATTGAGTTGAAAAAGAAATGAAATAAATAATAATAAATTGTTAAAGAAATACTTCAAAACAAAAAATATCTTATAATTTCGGGCATTTATCAATTTATCTGTGAATCGATTCCTTTTAAAGACAATTGTCACACACTCATTTCAAATTCTATTTTTTTTCTTTGTTTTCAACTTTTTTTATTGTTAAATTAATATAAAAAAATGCTAAAAATGACAATCTCGAGGAATACGTCCCCGGCCAATATCTTGCTGGCCAGTGTATTTTACTCTTCAGTTGTGGGATAAACGTCGGTTCAACTTAATTTAAACACACATAGCTGTATATATACATGTACATTTACTAATATAAGCAATCAGCTGTCCGTTTAATATGAATAAATGATGTGATTATATTAAGGCCTATGTCCGCTGACCTAAAGCCTAAAGGATAATTCCCGAATTCAGGATTTACAGGCACTTAAAATGTCCCCATTTTCTACATAAAGACTGTAAATAAACTGTTAAACAAACGGTTTTCAGAATATTAATAAAATCACACATTTAACAAAAAATTATGAATATGATGATTTTGGCCTAGTTGTTGTTGAAGATGATGATAATGACGATGATGATGATAATAATTATAATAATAATAGTAATAATCAATGTAAATAATGATAATCATAATAAATCGTGATGATGATAAAAATAACGATAGCAATTTTTAATAATAGTAGTATTAATAAATAAATTAATTAAATAAATTAATAAATGAATAAATAAATAATGATAATAATAATAATGATAATAATAATGATAGTAATGTAAATAATAGCAATAATATTGATGTTTATTAACAAATGGCGATGCTATTTAAATAATGGTGGCAATATATTTCCTTTTCAATTTGTTATATGCTCAATGTATATCGGTCTATGATTATTATCTACAGATATATTTCTTTCTAAACATTCGCCTTCTTGCGGCAACTGAATGTAACCATGCGACAAGTGCAGACCAAGATCAACCGGTACAAAAGTGCCGTCTATTCACATTCTGCTCTGCTTTGCTCACTCATTCAAAATTGAAAAATCCTACGAAAATTGACAATTCAAGTTAACATAGATTCGCATCTTCTCGGCCCTTTCCCCGTCATACTTCGGATTATGAATAATAGTCGATATGTTCCGATTTATATTTAGCGTGATTATGGTTAAAATATATCACAAAATGGGAATGGTGTTTTTAAAATAATACTTGCATTTTTTTATGCTGTTAAAAGAATTATTCTGTATATTATCAATTCAGATTACTAATATACATTGTGTTATATAGTAGATTTTAATGTAAATTCGTTTTAAATTGTAGCTTTTAGAACCCGGGGTATAGCCTGGGTTCCAATATGTCGATTTTTATGTGCTTCTGTTTTGCAAATTGATACTATCAAAACCAAGAAAACTGAAAACTACTATTCTAAAATCTGATACTAAAACAATAAACATGTCAACATATAACATATCTAGTGTTAAAAAATCTACTGTTCAAAATTATTTTACTTAAAAATCTACTATAGCGAAACAGCTCCTATCCCAACATAAACTTCTTGAGAATCTACTTTTCCTTTTTAATTTAAATGTATATATACGAGTATGTATATCTTCTGCAGTTTACAAATTGTTTGTTTGAAATTTTGAAAAGAATAACTCAAAACATGCCCGTATGTAAGAAATATGATGCTAGTATATTTCCTTTTGAGCCCAAGACCATGCACAAAAATCATAGATGAACAGTTAAAAATCTCTATAAAGTAGCAGCATACATGTAATATTGTGTTCCCGGACATTTTATTCTGTTTACATACATTTTAAAAGCAAATCATTCAATGTTACAACTCTTCCGAGAATTTGCCATAAAGATATAGAAACAACAAAAGTTCACCATTTTATATGAATTGTATAAAAATATACATTTCAATAGATATAGGATTATACCCTTTTAAAAATCTGCTATCTAATTGGAGAGGTCATCAGACCTCTCCACAGTGTTGAGAATGATTGCTGGCGGCATCCATTTTTGCGTATCAAATTGAAGCTAATGCATCGCATTTTTAGCCTTAAAACATTAGAATCAGTCTACAAAAAATGTTATGCGCATGCTCCGCCTCAAAATACGACTTAACTTAAACGAAAAATAAACATCGAAGTGAACAAATCGGTACAAGGAAAAATCGGAAAATATAATTTACGTTACTTAACACTACAAGCAATGATTCGTTCCATTTTTAATCCTTTAAACTGTATAAATCGATACTTGTTTTCTATTTCTTAGCGTTTTACTATTTCATGTGTCGAAAATAAGGAACAGTGAGCATTATAGCACTATCATAAATTATGACCGAGTGAACGGTGTACCGAAAATTTGCTGCTACTTTCACTTTTGAACTGGTTTGACTAAATTACGTAACGGAGATTTTTGGCGCAAATGGCGAAAATGGCACAACTTTTTCTCAAGTTAGATTTTCTTGCCATATTGTGGTTGGAGGCATGTAGCAGTATGTATTGTTTATACCAATCAAATGGTATACATTATTAATGTAAATCTGGGACTTAGAATTGTTTGATTAACATACTTTATGCCCGTTTTGGAAAATCTCTGGTGCCTTTTATATCTCCAAATATTTTCGAAATTAACAAATCTTCAACAGCTGCAAAAAGACCTCTCGCATGCTTCTTTTTAAAGAAGCAAACTTGTATATAACACTGATAAACGTCATACCGGAATCCAACCTTATTCTAACATTTGGCCATTCCATTATTGTAACAGCTCTTTATAATAAATCGGGGCTTCCATAAAGTTTCAAAATTTGGAGGTCAGAGACTGCTAAATCTCATACATTAAAAATCACATTATATAAAGAAGGAAAAGTGTTATATGATATGGAAGTCACAAGCCAAAATGAAGGAGTAAATGACACTCCATTGAAACTTCCATTGAACATTGGCTATTTCAACATCTAGTAATCTACTATAACAATTTGATGAGCTGCAGTGTTGTATCTTCTGTACACTAGCAACGCATAATAATTAAAGAATATAAATAAGAAATTAAAACATGAAATTTACCTAAATATTAAAAGACAAACATAAAATTTTATTTACTATTTACTGTAGAAGATAATATTCATGTTGCTATGAATGATTCAAGTTTAAAAAAACCTTAAGTAGACGAGAAACAAAATTATCAGTTCGAAAAAAGAAAAACAAATCGAAAAAAAATCACACGTATTTTCGTATATTATTGGGGTTTTACAGAACCAATATTAGATGATGATGATGATGATGACGATGATGATGATGATTACGACGACGGTGATGATGATGATAATGTGTTATATAGCGGAAATATTAAATATAATTTAACTAACCATCAACAGAAAGTTTATGTGCTAGGGGATTTGAGTCCGTCCCTTGAATCAATCTATTACCCATTATCCCCCCCCCCCTCCATTCATTTACATTTGTTTGTTTACTTTTTTGTGTTATTTATTGTCCCCTCTCAAAGACCAAGCCTTCAGCGTTTAAATACATTACGGATGCAGGGAGTAACTTTTTATATGAAGGTCATCTTGCACTAGTTTGCCCGCGGAAGAATTTTAATGACGCATAACGAATGTGAAGGTCATCGTATTATTTCGTTCAGCGAGAGGTCGATTTGCCCCGCAGCAAATAATGGGAAAAGCATAAATGAACGCAAAACAAACGCCTCTCCTCTCACATTATTAAAATGCCTCTGATTTTTTGTTCGTTTTGTCCTCCTTCAGAATTTTTAATCTTCACGCATCTATTCACAAGGAATCTTCCCTCTCCCCCTCTACCATTGCAGTAACGATACAGGTTCTAAAGCACTTCCTGTAACTATATGATTTAAACCCATCCTCACGTGGACTGATACTTATTTTTGGTTCTAAGTTGCGTTATCATATATTGCAGAAGAAAATAAATTCTTAGATAAAAGCGTGGGACTGAGTTTTATTTACATTCCATATATAGATATCATATTGACTTGGTAATCCTTAATGTTCTTTATTTTTATTCATAAAATATATATTTGGAAATAATATATTGCGCTTATATTAACAGTTGGTATTTATATACTAAGATGGCAAGGATGGTTTATGTGATACAATGCCAATGTTTTGTTTCCCCATTGTTTTCTGCTGGTGCGAACGTTACTTACAAAAATACAAACAGAAAATTAAAGGAGTGACGATGACGAATCAAGTAACCTTTAGACAATACTAATTATTTGTTCTTCCTTAATTAACGCACACACATAAATCGCCTTCAGAATTACTGTTGCTTAAATTAGAAACAAAATTAATATCGATGGATTGGCCACCTCCTGGAGACAGTCATTCATATGGATTTCCTGTGGCGATCATAATTGTAAAAATAAATGTATATCACACACATATATTGGGGACTTTGGCGGATTTTTCATGTGAGGAAGCTATCTTGCTAGCTTATGGAACGTCGGGTCGGTGGCTCTACCCAGGTCTTGAGGTCTTCGTCCACAAGTGAACCTGGAAGTGTCGCCATATGACCAATACTGTGTTAATAAACCATCTGACCCCCAATCCCTCCCATCAAAAGATAATGCATACCCATATACATGTGTATATAGTCACTTCATAGTTACCTAGTTTTGACCACGTGATTGTGATCTTTGTACGAAGGCATAATTTACCAGTGAGCAGCCCTTGCTATGGAGGTCTGGTTGAGCGAGGCCTTTTCTAAGAAAAAACGGCAGATGTTGTTGACAATGTTCTTCTACAATATAAAACATATAGACAACATGGTTTTATCGGTCACCATATATAAAATATCTCGGTTAATGGCGAAGTTACTATTGCCTGACGCTGTTGACATTTTCTTATATTTCGGTCATTTCCGTCAAACTTCGGATAAAAAATGATTATTGGTAACCGGCGAGGTGTTCTGGAAATCACGTGAAAAGAGATTGCATACGACAAATATTCTCAAATATATCACTTAATAGTTGCTTTAACTACTAATTAATACTTTGACTAAGTTTACTTTATTTCACAAGGTAAAAACGTTCCGATATTTTCCGAAGGTCATCTGCGGATATGATCTGAGTTGTACTTAAAACGTGTACACATTTTTGGCTAAAGTTCAAGCTGTAACCCGTTGACTGGCCATATCTGATTACATAGTAAACTGTTCAAACATTTCACTGGACTTAGCTGAACCGCCGTCTTATGGTCAAGTTTTTATCTCTGTGTGTGTATATATATTTATATACTTCAGAATGTTCATTAAAATGTACATGTACTTTTGCTCCGTAAGAAAACGTATATTTTATTAAAGACATGAATGTATTCTACTCGGTATGAAAATGCACGTTTATGAAATACAGTGCATATGTTAAAGTTTAAGATTTAGATTTTTGGGGCGTCCGTGGCCGAGAGGTTAAGGTCGTTGACTTCGAACCAATTGCCATTCACCGCTATAGGTTCAAATCCCGTCGAGGACCTTGGATTCTTTCATGCGAGGAAGCTATTCACGTCGGTGGGTCTACTCAGGTGCCCGCTCGTGCCTGAAATAATGCACGGATGGGCTTCCGAGGTCGTCCTCAATTAGTAAAGCTGGAAAGTTGCAATGCTACGGCGACGTAACCCCACCCTCTAAAAGATTCAGAATTCATTGAAAATTTCAATATTTCTACACAATATGAAGGAAATGCATATATATGAAGTACATGCCTACGTTTTAAGTATTATTTTTCATTAAAAGTTACTTGAAATCTTCAAGTAAAAGTTACACAAACTGTCACAGCTTACCGGATAATAAACGAACATTTCGCTATACTTCTATCACCCAGCCGGATATTTGTTTTGTGCGCACTTAAGTTCTTCCTTTGGCTGGACGGAAGTTGTTTTCATAAAATAACGCTTTCTGTTGCATTGTTTCCTCATGCCTTCGGAACTATCTAAATATAATAAATTTATCTAAATATAATAAATTTGTTAAAAAAAAACCTTATTAAATGGGGAAACAAAACAAATTCTTTATAACATATACTTTTTAACCTGATAAATGATAGTTGCTGGCTTCACCCAAGTAACGACAGATGTGGAGAAAAACGAATTTTTGTAAAATAGAAATAACGAACGCACAGACACGTTTGTGTAAATGTCGTCTGCTTCGGTTTAATCAGAAGATTATTACGCAAACACTGGAGAACAATAGATTAAAAAGGGGGTAATTTAGGTCACTAATCAAATTGTTTACTTACATACTACTGTAGTCTACATGTAAGATAACTAACGTTACTAAGATAATAGATATACTAAGATAATAAATGTACTAACAAATGTACCAAGATGATAAACTTCCTAAGACAATATTGAAATATGTACAAACATGACAATCTATACCTTTGGAATAGGATGCATGCTTTTCCATTCAGATTCCGTGTAATTTATTACTCAGAAGCCTTTATGTCTATATGAAAGCATAAGATATAACATCAATTACTGCTATATACATATAATGTATTTTTGTTCATCTAATGCGGACCGAGTCATAAGTTTTTTTACTTTTCCTAAGGTTGACGGTGAGTCATTGATACTTACCTACCTCCAGTGACAAAAGGTCCTTACGTAAGAACATGTTTGGTGATTAAAATGCCATGACCATGTGTTTTTTTCCAGACTCAATAAACCAAAACCACAACTCCCCCATCACTTATTAGAATGAAATGCATCGTGACATTGTCATCTATGAGTAAATTTGACATCTTCCTGCAAAATAAACGTTGTTTTAAAGGATTGATTAAAAAAAACCCAAATATAATAAAGTTCGCTGAGCCTTAAGCTGTACATGTACTTCAGGAACTATGCTACACAATGCTTTTCCTGTGTATTGATACCAATGATTTCTAAATGACATATCGAATCCAAAATGGCGTCCGTGGTTAGACTATACTGTCTGTAATAGACGAACGAGAAATTTGTTTACTTAGTTGATAAGAGGTATTGGTCAGTGACTTATTTCAGTCCTTAGCTGACCTTTGTATTATGTGGTCGATTTAGAAGAATTAGTCATGCTGTACAAGAACAGCCGATACTGTGTGATAGTCGTGTACTTTTAAATTTAATATGAGGGACTGTAAATAAACACTAGAAATTCGTCTGTGATTATCTATTGAAGCGAAAATAGCCTTCCGAAAAAAAATCATAGAATTATATGTAATGGCTTAATGAGTAATGAATATGTACAGTATTTTATATGTAAGGCTTAATGTGTAATGAATATGTACAGTATTTTATATGTAAGGCTTAATGTGTAGTGCATATGTACACTTTTTTATATGTAATGTTTTAATGTGTAATGAATACGTTTAATAAAATGGCTTCTTCGCTATAAAAAAAGAAAATAATATGTCCTATTTAAAACCACAGTTGTCTTAATAAATTACCCTTCCTAACCTTAATTTTCTAAATGTTTGACCAAACTATACATTCCTAGCAGCTGATGTCACATCTGAATTATTGTTTGTCGTTCTTCCACTCATTTTATCTCAAATAATACATTCCGAATAGCTGACGTCGCTTCTGAATTATTGTTTCGCTTTAATTAATCTAGGCTTTCAGTAAAAACCGCTGAAGTTATTAAGAAATAATGCTATAAAGTCCACAAGGCTATAACTACAGACTTGACCTTTACTCTGCTGATTTGCCTTTGCTACCAGTATAGAGCCAAGTCAGCTTGCACATCCCTGCAGTCTGACGTGGCTCTGTAACTGACATTTATTAACTTAGGCTGTTTATTTTACAGTGAAATCCTTTCAACTTTGAATTGTGTTTCAAAATCAAAGTAAGAAAATGCATATAAAAAATCCACTAGGTTTAGGGGTTAAATTTAAAAACTGACGGGCAAATATGATTGTTACCAAATTTAAGTAGGGTCGATTCATATAAAGGTAATGTTGTATATGAAGTAGATACTAAAGCAATGACTTTTTACGACAATTTCCACGAGAGCTATGTAAAAAGTTAAATAAATATTGAAACTAAAAAGGAAAAAAAATCAAATACCACAATATTGAATACCCCACGACATTTAACACCGTTTAATCTTTTTTCATCATTTAAAAATACAGAATAATTAATACGAGGATGTTTTAAATTTTGATAAAATATATAACAAATAAATGAACGTAGACTATACGCATGTATACATGTATATATTTCATGTTTTATTTTCAAAGTTTGTCTTACAACATTTAAACATTTTACTCACAGCTACAACGTTACTCCTCCCTACCATATTGTCCCAGTTATCCAATTTTGCATAATGTTATATCAAAGCGCCACCTTACGGAAGTTTGTTTTCTATTTTCGTAAAACGCTGTACGCTATTTATTCGCGGAAAAGAGTCCCGAACTGATGTGAAACATATTTCCGTGTGATTGAAACTTTTCGGTAGTTGTAAATAATTGAGATTTAAAGCAAATGAGTCATTTTAACACATTTTAGAAAATGATTTATTCGTTTATTTATTTTTAAAAATTTCTCCTAACTTATTGCCGATTAACGGGACTACCTTTTCTACAAGAAGCGAGATGGTTCAAAATACGCGCGACGGTCAGTTTGAAGATTCGGAATGATCTGTCTTCTGCGGCTATTATAACATTTTATATAAACGACAGGTTTATTGAATGGTCAATTCAGGACAATGACCGCCCGGGTTCAATGACCGCTCGAGGAAGCGCCCTCTTTTACTTGACCAGGCGTTTGTTCTTTCATAAAATTGTTTCAATGTTTTAGTAAAAATATATGCGACCTTTTGTTGACATATTGTAGCAAATTAACTTGCATTTGATCTCAACAATATTTTAATGCATGATTTAAGTGAAGGAAAATAACAATCGACCTAAGAATGTTTTGAATGGCATTTTGATGATGAATGATCGAGCGTGAATGAATTTGGGTGAATTAAAAAAGATTACGTCCAGAAGAACTGTATGAAAGAAATATCTTTTATATATATCCGTTTGAGTGAATCACTGCTAAATGATTAAAACCATACTTTAAACAACAGGATAAAATTTTGTTCTGGAATATTTTATTTTGCTTGCATACTATATTCATGGGTGTTGAACAACTGAGCCATTTGATGTTACAAATCTTTTAAGTGTCGACCATAAACAACATAATTTTACTATTTATAAACTTTATAAAACAATCACAATATAAAGCTTTATACCCTTTTTGTAAATATTTGTTTTATTCACCGTAATAATCAGACGTTTTAATTCAAACTGAATTATGCAAGCTTCCTATGAAAGGAAATCACTCTAATTCATATTGTTTTAACTTCATTTAAAGTATTTATTGCATCGTTATATGATTATTATGGTGGCATATTTCTGCCACCAGATAACCTGATAACAAACTAGTTAATTAAGAGGTTAACTAGTTACGTAACTAGTTAACCTGATAATTAACTAGTTAATTAAGAGGTTAACTAGTTACGTAACTAGTTATTTTTTTCAATAAAGAAAAGATCATAACGGGAAATAAATGCATGTTAGTGCCTGCAACTGCCATCCTTTTATTATATCATCATCTTAAAATTAAGAGGTTAACTAGTTACGTAACTAGTTAACCTCTTAATTAACTAGTTAATTATCAGGTTAACTAGTTACGCAAATACCTAACTAGTTAACCTGATAAATAACTAGTTAATTAAGAGGTTAACTAGTTACATAAAAACGTAACTAGTTAACCTGATAAATAACTAGTAAGTTAAGAGGTTAACTAGTTACGCAAATACCTAACTAGTTAACCTGATAAATAACTAGTTAATTAAGAGGTTAACTAGTTACGTTTTTACGTAACTAGTTAACCTCTTAACTAACTAGTTATTTAACAGGTTAACTAGTTACGTAACTAGTTAACCTGATAATTAACTAGTTAAGTATTAGGTTAACTAGTTAGGTATTTTCGTAACTAGTTAACCTGATAATTAACTAGTTAATTAAGAGGTTAACTAGTTACATAAAAACGTAACTAGTTAACCTGATAAATAACTAGTTAGTTAAGAGGTTAACTAGTTACGCAAATACCTAACTAGTTAACCTGATAAATAACTAGTTAATTAAGAGGTTAACTAGTTACGTTTTTACGTAACTAGTTAACCTCTTAACTAACTAGTTATTTATCAGGTTAACTAGTTACGTAACTAGTTAACCTGATAATTAACTAGTTAAGTATTAGGTTAACTAGTTAGGTATTTTCGTAACTAGTTAACCTGATAATAAACTAGTTAATTAAGAGGTTAACTAGTTAAGTATTTATTTAACTAGTTAACCTATTAATTAACTAGTTAATTATCAGGTTAACTAGTTACGTAACTAGTTAACCTCTTAATATTAAGCTGACAATAAGGGATGGCAGTTTGCAGGCACTAACATGCATTTTTTTCCCGTTATGATCTTTTCTTTACGTAACTAGTTAACCTGATAATTAACTAGTTAATTATCAGGTTAACTAGTTACGTAACTAGTTAACCTCTTAATTAACTAGTTAATTATCAGGTTATCTGGTGGCAGAAATATGCCACCATAGATTATAAATCTATAATTATTGAAGTTTGTTTTAAAGGAACTGCTTCCATATTTTGAAAATACCAGTCTCTTTAAACAAAATAAATGTATTAGATTAACTTAATAGATCTATATAAGGGACACATAGCTGCTATCAATATAACTCGGTAAAACAGGATAACTCGCTATAATAATACAGGATAACTCGCTTTATACAACAGAATAACGTTAGTTTGTTTATGTGGATAACTTGCTATGACATAGTAACTTACTAAATCGTAATAACTCCCTATAGCTGAAAAAAACTTGCTTTAAATCAGGATAACTAGCAATTAGTAATTCGCTTTACTGGGATAACTCAATTTGAATTGTTTTTGAAATTCAACGAAGAAAAATGAATGATTTCGTTAATATGGGCTCGAACCAGCGATGTTAAAGCAAAATAACCCACTTACACTGTAAAAGTCATGCAGCGAATTCCCAGCCTTACCAGTGGAGTAAGACAATGTATTACTTAAGACACGAGCGGGTACCTAAGTAGAACCACCAACGTTCCGTAATCTAGCTGGATAGCTACCCACATTTAAGAATCTAAAGTCCCGGGCGGGATTCGAACCCTCAGCGGCGTGGGAGCCAAAGATCTTAACCACTCGGCCACAAACGCCCTTCTGTAATATTGTGGTTTTATGATAAATTAATGTAAATAAATGCATGGACATCGATGTAAAATAGTGATATTTTAACAGATTCACAGATGCACGATGATTATGGTGACCATAATACTTCTTTGTTTTCATGATTATTTCTAGTCCCTGGGTCCTAGGCACCTGACCATATTCAAAATTCACCGTTAACTACTTGGCAATGTTTTCCTTTTTGATTACGTTTTTGGCAGGGCTTTTGGCCGGTCAACATTGCCTCAGTAGTTTAACTAGGTACACTAACTTTGTTATGTTGCCAAAAAGCAAGATATACGAATATTGTGTTGTATTGAAGTATAGCAGTAAAATACTAAAATAATAGGATCTTTCTACTCAAATGCTATCTCTAAATATGTTGAAGTTTTGTAATGGATCTTTTGCATTTTAAGTTAAAACGATTGGTATATCGAAATAAAAAATTGAAAGCTATTGCAATAACAACAGTATAGAGCCTGGCCAGACTTAACAAAAGTGCAAGGCTGGCCTGTCTCCATGCTAATGGCAAAGGCTTATCAGCAAGTTTAGGGTAGATAAAAGAATTAACATCTCATTCTAGTATTTAAAGACTAGAAAAACGTACATAAAACTAATGCTTCTTTTCGTTAACCTGAAAATACCACTTAATATGTAATTGAGAATAAAAGAAAGAGAACAGCAAAGAAAGTGAACAAATATTACAAAGAAATATATACAAAATGTAGAAATAAACTCAGCCAGAATCTTGAAGAACTTTTTTTATTATTACATACATGTAATATTTTAAATCAATGATTTTAGAAAAGCAATGAACTAAATCGGAATGATAAGACTATATACATTGCTGTCCTTACTGAGTCCTTACATGACCTACTAAGCACAGATGGACACCTCATCTGACCTTATCTTAGTATCTATTTACCCCTCTGGCAACCATCAATGACGTAATCTACAGCTCATAATTATACACATAATATATACATGTCATGTTTCTCATTTTGTATTTATCATCATTAATCCAGACTTGTCAGATATACTCACATGTTACTATGGCAACAGCTTATATCAAGTTTATAGGTATTTACCTCGAGACCATTAAATGAGATCTTTTCCCCGAACTTGTTAACATTTTTGTTTTCGAAATTCCATGTTTTCTGCCAAGAAAGCGTCATACCTAGCCTAGTTAATGATATTAGGGTATACATTACAAGACAAAAAAAATGTTGCTAATTAAAGTTAATTAACATCGTTATGAACTCGCATATCATTATTATAAGTCAGATAGATAGTACTTGGAAACTGGACATTGTTTTTCACTCGCAAATTACGCTGCAATCGGAACATCTCGAATATTATTCATTATCCTTTATATCCGAAGATTGGCGGAAAGGGCCGACATATTGCAATTTCACTATGTGTAGCTTGATCTCGAGAAGGCGGTTAAAGTTTGACGAAAATTGTGTACAGAATCACTTAGAAATAAATAAATAAATAAATAAATAAATAAATAAATAAATAAATAAATAAATTATTCACGAGTGAATGAATAAGCTATGCAAAACAACAAAAAGAGACCACCACCACCAACAACAACAACAACAACGAAAATAACAACAACAAAAACAACATCATATTCAAACAAACAATAATAAAAAATGTCATTATTTTTATGTATATACATGTACCATTACTACGCAATTTTTGCAGGTTCATTTCATAGTCAAGATTCAAGATTTCAAGATTTTTATTAAAAAAAAAAATAAAAAAATACTGAATGTTCGTGTTTGTGTGGATTGCCTGTTTAAGATTTTTATTATTCACTCAATACACAATGAATGTAAATATGAAGTAAATAACAAATTTTACAAACATAGACAACATAGACTGGAAAATAATCTGAATAATCATTAAACGATGTTGCTTTTCGTATGTTTTGCCGCAAGACATAAATACTCATTTAATGACCTCGCAATCTCACCTATAATTTATGTGACCTTGTTTTTCAAGTGATAACCCTATAAATCAGCATACAAGTGTGTTTGAACGTTGTACATGAACAAAATATTCGTGATGTTTTTTGTATAATTTTAGCTTTACTTAAATATATACATTGTATAGGGGCATAGCAGCGTTTCATGTAAGCAAACGCAAACACAGTGCTTAAGTATCAATTCATAACTGAGTCAAACCATTTGTATAACTTTACTTAGCTTTACTTACAATAGTTCTATCTTTATTCTTTTAAGGGGTTTAACAGTATTTAATGGACAATAACATACACATAAATCCCTAGTCGTATCATACCTCAAGTAATAATACTGTTAGCTTTTCTTCTTGGCTCTTAACATTTAGGCGGTGCTAGGGAGGTCATCTCGGTGTCTGTAAAGTGACTTTGAGGATCGTACAAAAGAATGTACAGTGTTAAACGGCACTTACATATTTAAACACTGTAAGGGGCTCTGTTGCCTACAGAGCTGAAAAAATGTAGAGTGAGATACTAAAAATCCAAGAATTAAAGATACTAAAACATGTCAAAGTTAACGATTGTTTAACAGCTGATCCAGACCAAACCCTGTACATGTATAATTTATTCCAGGGATAGTGGGTTCGAACCCTTCCAGGGTCTCCACCATGTTTCTTATAATACGAGTGCTATTAAAACACTTCAAGGAAACCATATAGGCTGCAAGTTTTTCCAGAACTCAAGTTAGAAATATAGAATGTTTAAACTTAACTGCATCACATAAATTATATACATTTCTTTGTAGAGAAACATTCTATGTCATTTAGGTGAGGTTTACAAAGAATAGAAAAAAGGCGTTTCGTTTTTCAGCATTTTGTATAATGATCGGATGTGTCCGGACGTGCATTTCTAAGTCCAATTGATCTGATCTGATATCACATGCTTATAATATGTAATATATTAACATGTCATTTAATTTTTTGCGGTTGTCAGCACCATACATATGCCATTTCAAAAATAACAGAAAGGAAACAAACACAGAAAAAATTACCATGATCAACATGGTAATACAGATATCATGTATCTATTTTATAGATATGTTAAATTTTATATTTAACATTTATAATATTGTTGTTATTTTTAAATTTCAGGCGTGCCATATATACCTAGTTACATGGACCTTACAAATGGTCCGGAACCCTGTGTAGTTTGCGGTGATGCTGCAACCGGGTACCATTATCGTTGTATGACGTGCGAAGGATGCAAGGTTGGTTCCTAGCTTCAAATTCTACCATATACATGTAAAATATATACTAGTATGTACTAAATAAATACAGTAAATGAAAATCAAGGGATTAACACAGTTGTTTTCTCCCCAGAAGTTGATAGAACTATGCATATAACTAATTTCTAGTAAATGTTTTTTAATGCATAAGATTTGCATTTATACCACGACGTTTATGTAATTACTTGTCATTATTAGCCATTATTCATACTTCCTTCTGTAATTTTTCAGGGTTTCTTTCGCCGAACTATACAGAAAAACTTACAATATCATTGCAAATGGAGTAAAACTTGTGTTATAGACAAAACTACCCGAAATCAGTGTCAAGAATGTAGATTTATCAAATGCTTAAACGTTGGCATGGCAACGGATCGTAAGTATTATTCAAAATATACTTACACAAATTCAACGTTTTGTTGAAAAATTCTCCCACCTGAAAAAATAAATTCATGGTATTAATTGCAACAATTCTAAATTTTCTTTCATGTGTAATGGTAGGGACTAGTGAGAATTACACAGATCTTTTGTTTAGGTCCACCGATTTTCTTTCTTCTTGGAGGGCACACGCTTTCATGGATTAGCACAACATGTCAAATCGAAGGTTCCATGATAACCGCCGTATGAATACATCTGCGGTTGTTTCGAATTCATTGTCATCATTTGCATGCTTAAATGATAATTTCTGTTTGACTCGGTGTTAGAGTGCGTAGAGGTACTGGCTGAAATCTAACCGATCCTGCAATGTTTCAATTTTGCCGTTTTGGGTGTTCTCTGACCATTTCAAAGGATAACGTAAAAACATGTTATTGACACAACAATAATTATGTAGTTAGTTATACATTTGGAAATGGTTTTGTAAAGTAAGCAAAAACAAATAAAATGTGAAACAAAGAAAACGAAATCTATAAAAAGGTCAAATGAATCTATAAATATGTATATATAAATGTAAAGTAATTTTGAAGAAGGTGTATATCTTTTCTATTTGGTTTAACGTACAGTTTTGAATATGTATATGAAGTCAACTTTTGCGAAATTAATTTATAACTTGAGTTTATATATATCAGTTGGATGACTATGTGTGTTCAAATCGAATATAAATCAAGACAAAATGGGCATATTTTTGTCATTATATTTTCTCCTGGTTCAGTTATTTTGTGGTCAATTTGACCTTTTCTCTTGACGTTTCTCTCGTTTTATCTGGGGCTACTTTCGACTTCATAGCGGGTGTCAGTAAATCGGTTCACAAATATTTTGCAACTTGAAAGGTTTAGAATGATAAGGTTTTAGATATTTTCTACAATCTTATCAGAGTTTCTACACACGCGTGCCTTAATGTCATTACATTTGCAGCTTGAAAATTCGTTCTGTTTAGACGTTTCTTCAAAACATTGGTGTCACGCACATGTTTATCAGGGGTTTAAAACATTTTAGAATGCCTCGGTTTTTGTCTTAATGTCCGCCACTAAGTTCTCAATGATACCCAGCTGAGGAGTAGCATATTTAAGCAAGCGCTCAATAAAGTGCAATGGTACGCAATTTAATCAATGTCTAATTTCTATGTGAGAATATGAATTAATAGCTAGATAGACTGAAGCGGAGCCAGGGTGTATATTCGTATGGATTCATAATTAGATTCGATGTTAATATGTATGCATCGTCTAGGGAGAGATCAATACGATAACACCGCGTAATATAACTGACCATATCTTTATTGACCTACAAATACTTGCCTCATTCTTACTCATTAACAGTGCTGAATTTGTGTAATGGATTCGCTCAGCTTTGGATAATTGGAATAGTCCATTGAAAGTCTTAGGGATTTTGATTATCAAAATAGAGAAAATATAAGCTATTTACAGTATAGATACACGGGTACTTAGGCTGGCATACTGATTGCAAAGGCTTATCATTTCCGGTTTCAGCAGAGTCCAGACATTAGTTTATCTCCTTACTTTTAAGCGAGAATGCATTTCAGCATTTCTGCCTTTCTGAATTGTACGTCAAGTATGGCAAAGACATAAAATACAGAATAGTATAATAACAATACAAATTCATACAAACAAAGACTTTCATGAAACAGTTACAGTTTAAAGGGTATTTGTACGCAATTCAAAAGCTTCTTTAATAAATTTCGATAATAAAATCAGTTTATTTTTGCTGTTACAAGACATAATACTATTAAATTTATTCAAGGAAGGCCATGATATGTTACCAAGGTATTTCTGGCGAATTTGAGAGTATTTTGTACAACATAGGAGAAAATGATATCCCGTTTCTGTTAGTTTATATAGAAAATATTCCATTATAATATTGTAAATATAACTTTGTGTTATAGTAAGCTGACAAACATATTTTTCGAATGTCTGTAAAAAGACATACCTATACTTTGTCGATTAACAATATAATATATTTTCAATATTCAGACCGGACCTTTTTAATGCACTTGTTTTATTATTATTTACTTAATTCCTTCAAACTATTTGTGAAATTACCATTATTTTGATAATGATAAATAAATTAATGTGTATAAATATAAGAGTATTGAATGATTGGCGGCTAACTAAAAGTTCTTAAATATTGAGTATTCAACTTTATGCCTTGTTGGATGAATGGACAGGTTTACTTTATATTGAATTTGAAACTATACATTTCAAACATATATGCTGAAAAAGCAAAAAAAAATACATTCACACGACCATATCGTTTTCAAAGAAGAGAATGAAATAGATAAATAACACAAAGCGCCTGGTCATCGGCCAAAAAGGATACTTAGATGACCTCGTTTTGACACATTAATGGACGATATCTAATACATCAACGAGAGTGCTTTTATACACAAACTATGTCCCAAGGACACTAAGCTGACCACATTTACATTTTTATCGTCCACATTTTTAGTAGCCTGTATCCAAATCAATTTAATCCATTTACATTTCACGGATCAGTTCCCTCTTTGAATGCTCGCTAACATGCGCCCATTTCAAGTTAATGACTTCGAATCTCCAAAGTTTGGACAATCTGACCTAGATTCGTCTTTATTGCTTGCTAGTATGCCTTTATTAACCGCCGTTTTTTCACATGAAAAACAGACCAATGGCCAAGGACAGGTGGTGGCAAATTATAACTTTAAGCCCTCGGACAGGTGTTCGGCAGGGTGGTATTAATGTACTGGTGTTATGTTCTAATAATGTTGTTCAAAGATTAGCTTTTGACCATGATTGTGTCCAAACAATTTGTACTCTTTTGAAATTAAGTAAGCTATGTTATGAAATATATAGATATCATCGACACAAGCTAAGGTCAATGTGCCGCAACTATGCAAAAAGCTCATTTCATAATAGAAACCGAAGAAAAACGTGTCTTTTTCCAGATTTTACCCCTTATAAATTCCTTTAAATATCGTAAGACTAGAGAATTTTATTCGCTCTGTTGATAAAGATGATTAAATAAGATCTTGAAATCTTGGAAAAAGTAGCTACAATGTATACGTTTCAACTTTCCTTTATCATTTATTCATAGTTACTCCCGACCAGTCACCGTATGGAAATTGGCTACGAATTATGTTGCCTTTGAAATACATCCTAGTAATATTGAGGGGAAAATTCCTCCCCAGGTCACTATGTTGTCCGACATTGATTTACTGGCATTCCCAATGAGCTTCCAGAAATAACTGATAAGCGCACATATTTCTGTCAAAATTGATCGGTTTCATTAGCTGACTGATATTTTCCACATTAGATGCCGAGTTCATGGGGTTCAACAAGTATCTTATGATTAAACGAATAATGAATATTGAAATATACTAAAATCATTAGAAATTGATGTTTGTGTATGTAGTCGAGCAATCGAAATATATTTAGAAAAATGATGAAAAAAATATATTTAGAAAAATGATGAAAAACAAAATGACCTTAATTCACGTATCTCAAGTTTCCCATGATTCGGATCGAAAGTTCCTTTATGTCTCTTTTCAGTTAGGGATTCCACTGAAGTTGTTTGTTTTAATGTTCCATTTGTTGAATGGTTTAATTAATAACTTGTGTGCAAAATTTCATAGCATGTGCTGGCTTCGTTTTCCCAAAATAATAATTTCAGTTGTAAAAGATGACCAAAACGAAAGACATTTAGACGCTTTTCGCTTAAATAGATCGAAAATCGATAAAAAATAATAATATGATTTTCAATTTAATTATGAGTATATTTCTTTATTATCTTTTGCAAATCTTTTCGTTTTAAGAGCTTCAATAAAGTTAGCAAATTGTAAACGAAGTGGTTTTTTGACGTCCATACAAAATACTAAATCACCATGGTATCTGTACTAATTGCAAAAAAGCAACAGCAACAAAGGATCGTTCATGTCATAGGCCAGTGATTAATTTTAAAAACTAGAATTATAAGAGAACACCAAAACTGAAGAACTATTGAGAAATAAAAATTAAAGCATTTCTGGGACATAATGGACCTTTAATCTTCATAAAATATAACAATAATCGTAATAATACCATTACATCTCTTCCAGTTGTTTTGAATGAGAAACAAAGAACAGCAAAACGTAAGTTAATAGAAGAAAACAGGGAAAGAAGAAAAGACGAACAGACGAAAGTAAAAGTTAAGGAAACTTACCCGGACCAAGATGTCCTTTCTGATACAGATAGGGGACTTATTTGTGAAGTGGTCACAGCGTATGAATATACTGCTGGGAAAAATCAAAATTCTAGCAAGGTAAAATTATTTTACAAGGAAACGGTTAAATCATTATTGAAATATGATTTAAGATTTTTATTATGGTAAGGGTCAATTTAACGTATCAAATGACATCTGAACTAACAACCTCACCTTTGCTCAACCCAAACATCTTCAAAAGCCTTTGTAAACTATTAAGTCTTTTACATGTTTTTAGAACTTTATCTAATTTTATTAAACGATAAAAATCAGTTATTCTGAATCTATACCGATAAAAATCAGTTATTCTGAATCTCATACTTTCATTATATTACAGGGAGACTATGAAGGTGTCAGCAAAGAGATTCAAACTCAGGATCCAGAGTCCTGGCACCAGCTTGCCGAAGCAATGACTCCTTCTATAGTCAAAGTTGTTGAATTTGCAAAAGGTGTTCCCGGTTTCACAGAGGTATGTACATAAGTAAAATCAGTGTCATTTTGCTGAACTTCATATTTGAACTTTAGAAATGTCTACTTATGTTAAGTAAATGTGATTGTATGGACGAAATTAATATAAGAAGCAGATGAAGATAAAAATGAATAAAGTTACAGCATCTGGATGTTACATAAAATGAATAGGCGTAAAACAACAAGGGGAAAACATAGCAAATCAGATAAATATTGGTTAAATACAGAACAAAAAATACGTTTGATGTTGGTTAAATGCATGGGTGCAAGTTTTCAGGCATAATTATACCTGAAGCTCAGGTTTTTGTGACAAATTTCATCATGTTTTACTATTAGTTTATGTAGGAAAATGATTATGAATTACAGTTCTTTCCAAATTTTCAACTTGCACCCATGTAAATACAGGGCTGATACTATTTATTTTGTGTCATTTTTGAGATTTCATTTGACTGTAAACAATTTATGACACGAGTTAATTGTTCGCAAGGTAGCTTATGATTTAAAAGATATACTATTATGCCAAGTTTGAATTCGGTTCGAGACTTCTGTATTAAGATTAAATCGGTTTTAATCCTTATAGTCCAGATTGTCTTAAGTAAAGGCAAGACCGAAGGCATTTAGTACTCTTTGGTTCTAACGTTTGAAATTATACTGACCTTGAAATTTTAATTCTGGCGTCCTTAAATGACTCTATGTAAGGATTAAATATACGGGGAAAGTTATATACATATATATAATATTATGTTTTGTACTTTCTGGTCATTGTACTGCTTTGGGGAGTGGTATTATTTATCTTTTATGTATAAAAGAAGTTTAGCCAATGCTTTTCTGTTAGTGTTTAAATATTAAGAACTTGTTTTTTTTAATTACGACGCTCTCACACAATTAAGGTAATATAGCGCCGAAACAGGAAATATGATTTTGGTACAAACTTAAAGCAACACCAGGGGTCGAAACCATCTAACCTGCTTATAGACTCCAGTAATTTTGAACCTATTTAATCGCCTCTTACGATTTCACTGAGATAAACGGTGGCTGCAATTCTGATGACTCAATCCATAAAGACAACCCCTCAGCCACAAGGGGTGAATATTAAAAACTACAACTTAAGACCTAAACTTAATTGAAATAACCAACGTTCTGCGAAAAGTTTTTGTCATTACAAAAAGTGAATTTCTAAATATAACCATTTTCGTAAATACATGTAAATGTTATTCTGCCGAAACCGGTGCTAGGGAGAGTTGACAGTAGCTTCCATTTAACACTTTCCGCCATGAAGATATTCAAATTTAGCCTGCAACATTGCTTGTCAACCTTTAAGAGTTCTACATATATTTTTTGATGTATTAGTTATATCGCCAATTATTTCTTTTGAGATATTTTCCATTAAACTGTTTTGTGGAAATGTCAAATGTTTGTTTACATTTGATTATATTGTTAAACAAAAATACAGCCAGCTCTTACAACTTATCTTTGCAATATTTTATTTCGAGTTGTCTTTGAAGTATCTTTACATTACATGTGTTTTGGTTGTCCAGTAATAAACATCGTCTAGTATATCTTGAAATAGGTCAGTTGTACAAATAGCTTTGCAATAAAGAACATTTAATGATACAAAATTAACATTATGCTGACCATGTCAAAGAAAACCGCATAAAACTTGACATTACCATACCCTCGTAAATTTGTTAAACATTTAATGTATCGGTAACAGAAAAGGACATATTTTTTTACAAATTCATCATCACGACAAAAACATACGATACGCAATACACATTACAGTCAAATATACACATTTCTTAAAGAAACAATCATTGAATAATAAGTAAACAAATTATTAACAAAAAAGAGACACTATTATCTACATGGAGAGAGTACTACAATATAAAGTAAATCACTGTCATTTATGTGATAATTAAGTAGTACACATAGACATATGGTACAAGAAGTCGTTTTTTGTTGTGAATATACAATATTAACATTCATTTAGAAATAACATTCAGTACTGAAACAACTAGATTAAAGGGAATAAAGCTGTATCTTATTATTATTTTTTTTTGTAAAAGTTAAATTATATTTGTTTCCATAATCGTATGGTAAATTCTCGAAAAAGTTTGTACATAGAATTTCTCAGTTCATTCAACAACAAAAATATAGAGGCAGTTATTTACATACTGGCGTTTTCTCAAACATTGATTAAACTGTTTTAATTTTTTAAAGACCATATCAATCATAAAGCAATAGCAAGCTTGAAATCATTTAAGCTATTCCGCAAACATATGAAGGTTCGTCTTATATTTACTATTATACAAAATGTGTGCATACATATTTTATACACAAATAGGAATCTGATGACTTAAAACAAATATTTGATCATGAAAAAAATTGAAACATTGTACATAGCTCAGCAGATAATGATGATAATATTTGAATTTTGATCAAGTATACATTTACATGAACTTTATTTTACCCGCAGGCGTCAAGCAAGGAGGAAAAAGTTTGCAATATATAGTTGATACACAGCTGCCATATTGCAGCTTTTAGTGACTTAGACGGAAATTTATTACTGTATGTTTAGCCGATATCTGACCGAAGCCATACCACGCTATATTGGCCGCCCTGCAAATATTTAGATAAAACAATCTGCTTTCTAATTCTTCGCGGATTTTTTTTCATGGATAGCATTGTGAGGCCAAACGGTCAATGACTTGTGAATGTCCACTGAGGTCAAGGTGCTTTCACGAACTAGGTCGATATACTTATGTATATATTCATGTAGATGTCGGCAGGGAGAGGCCATGTATTGTTTTCGTGTTTGAATATAACAGAAAATATAAATTTGCTTTACTTATTATTTATAAGCATTGGCAGAAAAAATGCAATGTTTTCAGTAAAAATCAGAAGATATATAGGTTTTTTTCTACATTAAAGTGCTGAATTGAAGATTTAAAGTACTTAACATTTAATATTTGAAGAGAAAATCTAAGTTCATGTATAACGAATATATGCTGTTAATAACATAAATAAGACAAAAAGCAAGGTACGCATGAATATGTAAAATGATGTTTTACATCTGACAAACTGCCATTCATAAAATGCTTACAGATTTCAAAAAAAAAACCATTTGTTTGTAGTAATTATCTCTCTGTTGTAAAATTTATAATAAAATGTTTTACTTTTTTCAAATCGTTTGAACATATGTTATCAGATCAAGAAATGGTTTGTGAATAATGATTTTTATTCCAACATTTTATTTTAGTACCAAAGGCTGTGAGGCCACAAAAGCCAAAAAGAAATCTAATCAAAAATTTGTATAGTTGGTGATTTTAACGTTTGATTCAAAATGTAACAAGATTCGACCTGTATTGTTGTTTTATCGATAGCTTGTTTAATTTGATTTTCAAATTGAATTTCTATACCCATAAATAACTCCAATCAGTCTAGGCGATCAATAGGGTAATATCTTATAATTAATGGCAGCTATGAAAGGTGTAAGTCACAACATTTTGGTGGCAGCTGCTTTTGGAAATAAAATACAATACTAACATGTGAAGATTGGTTGACACCTAGATAAAAGATACATAAAATAGCTGAATATTTTGTATTGATCAAACATTGGAAAATTGATTTCTTAATTCTAGCATTGACTGTGAATAAATGTGATGATATTTAGCTACTGGATGAAACAACAAGAGAAAAGAAAAGAAAACAATGATTTTAAAAATGTTCTTAACATGTGATAATTTTATACTAGTTTCACTTTGAATGTTATATTATAGATTCTATTTAAGATAGATATAAAGTTTCAATGGCTTTAAATTACAAGATTAGACAACAAGTAGGAAATTGTAAAACATTTGAACTAAATATGTGCAGATACATTCCAAATCATCACCGAATATGAATGAAACGATGCAGCTATTTAGCTCATGATAAAAGAATCCGTAAGAAGCGTTTTTCTTTGCATATACATGTATTATATAATATAAAGTATTAGAAGTTGTACATTCACCCATAGACATAATAAGCAACCATAATATAAATATGATATGTGATGAAAGTAGAAAGTATGAAGAAATGAGTATATAAACCAAATCTAACCAAATGGCATATCAAAATAGTAGATACCATATTAAATGAACTTTAGAACTAAAGATATACTTTTTAGCAGTTTTCAATGAACATACATTCTAAAGTGGTCTAACTAAGATTTAATTTAAAAGCATGATGTATAAAGAAATGAGTACTTTTGCAGAATTTCAAATATTTTAGTTGTGGTAAATGAGTAAATATTTTTAGTTATGAAATATAAAATGGAAAGTGCAGTATGAATACAAAGAAAAGTTCTAATCTAAATATGAATCTGACAGATTAGAAGAAATAAAGGGTTTTATTACTCATAATGAAGCACAAAGAATAGAGTGCATCTGTTTAGAAAACAACAACAAAAAACAACAAAAGCTACAAAAGACACAAGAGGAATGGCACTAAGAACATTATCACGTGATTTACATCCGGACATGTGTATACAATTACAAATAACAAAAATGCTGACGGTAATATTTTAATGGTTCATGTAATTTAGTTAATGTTGATATCGCAGGGTAGGTTATGTACTAGAAATATGTGTAATGTTCAACTTGATAAAATGTCAACAAACCCAGGTGACCGCACTTTATTATGATGTTTCTGACCGCCGGTGTATTACATGTTCGTATCCATGGTAATATTTGATAAATAAATACGTATCTTAATTAAGAACACTTTTTACCCGAATGATTAAATAAGAACAACAAACAAGATCAAAACGTTCAATGGTGCTTACAAATTACATGTACACAGAGCATTGTATTAATTAATGGAGATAGCGTAATGTTTTGGCTTTGATTTAGATATACTGCAATACAAATGCGAGTTTCGTGAGTTTATAATCTTGTATAATGATAAAGATACAATAACAGAATGTAAAACATAAATTTTGGAAATCAATCGGCGCCAAATGTTTCATACAGGAGGTGTTCGATACGCCTTCAAAGCTTGTTCACGCCCATTTTCAATCAACATGGACCCAACAAAGGGAATCTGGATAACAATAACACCTAATTTAGTTTGGGACATTTAATGACTGATGGCCCGGAAAAAGAGATCACATATTTCACTGAGATCATTAAAAATACTGAATGTAAAACAATCTTCTTCGAAGCATGTGGGAAAAGGTTCAAACGCCACAAAAGCAGGGCATTTACCTTATAAGAGGTTTAATAAAGGTCGAATACATGTTCAAAAATATTTCTTTTTCCCATTCAGCTGGCCACGGGACGCCAGTGGCTGGTAAGAGTTTAAACAGTAATATTTATTTTATTTATATTAAAAAAAGATCATGTACATATTAATTTTTGTATGGACATTTTAAAGGATTATGGATACACTATGTGCAATTTACACTATTATTGTTATTTTAATAAGGTGGACACTCAATAATATTGGCATAATATGTTATTTTTCGTTCAAAATCGTTCATAAAAACACAATTAAAGGAACAAAAATGTTGGATATAATATATAAAAATTTATATGGAGTTTACCTAGAAAATATAAAAAATGGATATATGTTTAAGAGGACGTGATCTTCCGAGAGGACGGCAATTTTTATGCCAATAGGATTTGAATTGCTGTCAATATCTTTGTGAACATAGTTTAATTGATAAGGATCAAGAATTTATTATTATTATTATTTATTATTTGCAATTATAAATTTGGTAGATGGGATATGCTACTTTTAACAATTTTAGTTTATAATTGTATCTTCATTTTGGAATGACAAAGCCTTCGTACAAAATGTGATAGCCAGAAATTGATTGGTAGACGTTCACATATTAAAGGATTTGCTGATTTTTAAATATGGCACATTAATTAGCAGATAATATATAATTTAACGGGTTTCTCTTTGTTTCTTCTGCAATATTAGCATTATTAATAGAAGAAGGTAGTGCTAGACAAAAATAAAAGTCACGTGATGTGAATATCGTTTTCATTTCTTGTTTCTCTGCAAAGCAAAATCAGAAAAATCGTCACTGTAGAAGACAAATGCTCAAATTTGCAATAAAAATATGAAAAACTGAATAAAATAATTATCTAAAAGTTAAATTTTGTGTAAATTTATGTTGAAATATATTTACCTTACCAGACGAATACGAAACGCCATAATGTGTAGGAGAATTAGTTTTCTGGAAGAGATGCGCAGAAGATAATTGATTCAACATGGCCCCGACAGGCGGCCTAACTTGACCACACACTATATTAGAAAACTGTGCAAGGATTAAAACTGTTCTAGTGTTATATTATATTTTTATTTCAAAGGAAACTTGCATTAAAAACATCATTCATTCGATGGATTAAGATAAACTGAAGTTTGTATAGTTTGTATTATGAAACCGTTTGGCTTTCCCAGATAGATTCTTTGGTGCTAAAATATGTGGTCATTCGTGTGAACTTTGTGAAAAAATCATTTTATATGATTATTTTGAAATGTTGATTATTTTGGATTATCTTGTAGAAAGGTTATTCTGATACCCGAATGCTTTACTTTGACATGGAAAGTTTAAAAACATTCGAATGTTGATGTTGAAGAAAATTGCGTTTTGGTGTTTTAAAATCATGCACTCGTTAAAAGACATTATAAATCTAAATATCTGATATTATGTTTAATTTACTGGACATTTTAAAACATTAAAATGCTTTATTAATACATTTTCATCATAAATATCCAAGTCGTACTTGTATCATTAATTTATCTCGGTTTGTAATTGAATTTATATCAAGCGCATTAAAATGTATTTGGTTCTACGACTTTGTAATATTAGAAATAATGCATTAATGCGATAAAATGTGTAGCAATGGCTAAAATGGACATTTTTGGCTTTCAACGACTAGAGAAAAAAAACCCAACATTTATGATGTCATTAGAGTTGAATAAAAGTATAATTTGTATTATTACACTTCTGGAGGATTTATAGTTATATTTCAACAATCAGTAAAAGCACGTGACGGTGTTGCCATGGACAATTTTGCTTTAATATACATTGTAGTTTTAATCAAAAGACGATTGATTTGAATAAACATACATTCTAGAATTTAAACACAGCTGTCCATTGTGTTATTTTCTTCTTTTTTTTGTATATTTACCTATTAACTGTCAGATCTACAATAATACAAATATCATATATGAAAACTTAAATCATTTTCCCGCGTCTTTATTAAAAATGATATTTCATCACAAATGATTTAATCACAAATGAATACAATAACAAAAATATCGTTGTTTCGGTGTCTTATGAGTACTGTTCTTATGATTTATTTGCCAATTCTCTGATAAATAATACTAAACAACATACCATTTTTTTCATTTGGTTATGAATGGATTAATTAGTATTGTAAATGATATATAATACCTTGTTTGCGATTGATTTAAATAAAATAGTTTACATTAAAACGACAGACGAAATACAAGTAGGTTTGCTACATTTGACCTTTAAATAAGTCAGGTAAACAATCGTGGTACATGCGTTTTATGTAAATAAATTCAGTTGAAGGCAAAAAAATACATTGATAACTTTAAGGTTTAATAGCTAGTAACGACTACATGTATTTAATCGCGATCTGTTCCTTTCAAGTATATATTTATTGCAGTTTGTTTGTGTATACAAAATAAACAATAACCACGTGACCTTTCGCACGCGCCCATTTTCCTTGTACGTAGAAATTGTAAGATGTTGGCGCCATTTTAAATATAATATATCACTTGTGACATACAGGGGATAAAGTAGAGATATATCAGTAGATTTAAATAGAACTGGACCTAGCAAGTTGACCAGTAATCGGATGTTGAAGATTTAGAACTAACAAGTATCATTAACGATATTTATATAGATGAAATAAACATTTGAATAAAACGTGATTTTGTTACTATTTTTAGCTCAACGTTGAAGACCAGATTCTTCTGCTAAAATCATGTTGCATGGAAATAATGTGTCTGCGAGCAGCTTGCAGATTTGATCCGGATGCAGAAACGCTTACATTACATAATGGGGTGAAGCTTCACAAGTCCCAGATCCATCAGGGTGGCGTGGCGGTCCTGATCGAGCCAATTTTTGATTTTGCAATGGGATTGTCAAAGCTAAAGCTGGACAAAGCAGAAATAGCATTACTGGCAGCTATTCTATTAATGCAGTCGGGTATGTAGCTTTTGAATTTATAAGCTATTCCGTTTAGTTGTTCTTTCAAGACTGTTCCAGAATTCTAGGAAATTGAATATGTAGTTTTTGAATTTATTAACTATACGGTCTGTTAATTTTCTTAAAAACTGTTTAATTGAATTTTAGGAGTTTTAATATGCATTAATGACATCTTTTTTTTCTATATAAAATTGATGGAAATACTTAATTTAAGATTTTCAAAATTTGAGATTTGTTTTTTCTCTAACTTGTTACCATACAAATCATCAAAGATATGGCTTTTACAATGTATAAAATAGTGTGTATTTTGCAGTTAAGTTAATCAAAATAACAACAATTTGCATGTTATTAGTTTATGATTAAATATTATTGTAATTTGTTTATGTAAAGTCTTTTGAGTTCAACATTTAATTCTTGTTTTAAACATTTAAAAAAAATTGTAACAATATGAATTAAAGTGAAATGATCCATAATGGAAGGTCTATAAAACCATTAATAATTTGTTGATAGTAACTAGTTTCATGCGTGACTACAACGAAAAATTATATACAAGTGTCGTATATTAGTTTGAGATATATGATCCATATTGTGCAGATAATAAATTGTTCTAGAACAAAATATCATTAATTATCATATAAATGTTAATACTAAATCACTTAAAATTCTTATAAAATTATATTATAAGAATATTTAAAATAACATTTCTATTGTTACTTTTATCAATATTTGAAATGCTTGTGGAAATTTTGCCCATTGTAGACCAATTCACTTTACTCATTCATAAGGATATGGCAACAGTTGACACAACCATTTCAACATAACGATCATTTCAAAATCGCTCATATTTAGAAACCCAACATATGTAAATGATTCTTACGAAAATTTATTTTGTAATTCATCTTTCCATAAAATGATTTTATGGACTAAGTATAATTGAAACATTATTTATTGTGTCAATTATCTTGATATTTATTTTGCTATTGTTGGTATTTTTCAGATCGCTCTGGGCTACATGAACCAGAAAACGTGGAGCGTCTTCAAGATGCTATACTTGGTACTTTCAAACGTTACATAACGGAAAACAGACCTCATCAGCCGGTGCATTGGGCTAAAATTCTAATGAAAGTTACAGATTTAAGAACTATTTCTACTCGTCATGCAGAAAGAGTGTTATGTATAAGATTGGATAACTCCGGTGAAATCCCGCCTCTCTTACTGGAAGTGTTCAACGAGGGGCACTCCTGACCAAAAGTCATCATTTAGGAATTTGTCGTTTGGCTTTTACAAATAACTGAAAAGGCAGGATCGCTTTTAAAAGAACATCTATCTTTCTGAGAGGATTAATGATTATTATGTGGAATAATAATATAAACTTACTTTTTTGTTGTCCGGTGTTCTATTTCGTGGTGATTTAAGCAATTGTCCATGGAAAACAGATGGCCATTATTGTGTATACACGTTCTTTCATTAGAAATATTGGAAACAAACAAGGTTAACAGTGTGTCATTGTATGGTTAAGAACCAAAAGTGGACGCGAATGTTTTCAAGATGTATGATGACTTTGAATTAGATAAAAATGCTTTATAAAAGCAGAGCTTGTTTGAATTGACGTTTTGAAATTATAGGGACACAATATATTTACTTGAGATCCATTGTAGAAGTGTGCTTTTTTTACCTGTTAGAGTTCCTTTGAAGTGTATAGAACATGTTTGAAGCCTACATGCTGATCTATATAAACAATTAGTATTAATTCAGTTACATTGTAAAAGGAAACATTCATTATTTTAAATATGACCAAAGAAATAAGAAGGGGAATGGTATTCTTCCTTGTTGAACACCTAAAGCTATATTTAATGTAAGACAATCATAGATGAAGATCAGGGACACATTCATCAAAATGACTACAAATCTTCAGAGAACAAACCTGAAATAATATATTAACAAAAATTATTTTCTCCATTTTGAGTTTGAATGACATTAAGCTTTCAGAACATGTCAAATTATTACAGAATGTTTGGCAAGGTGTAAAGGTTTGAGGAGCTTGCATTTCATAATAGAAATACCCTTAACAATCGACCGTTTTACACAAAAGTTGGGTACATAAATAATCATAAAAACTTTAATAATTACATTATAAAGCTATGTTAGGTAAGGAGCACCTATTATGCTAAAATAAATATTTGCCCAACATTTGAAATAGGTGTTACAATTAATGTAGGTATATTGAGGTAAACAGGTTATAACAACTATATAACATCTTACCTGTTTTGCTAAGTCATGATAAGCTATGATATTTTAAACATACTAAAAATATTTAAGATATACATTTGTTACAAGAAAAAAAGCTGACTTGGGCTGCTATTAAAATTGTTTAAAAGTCCAAATCCATGTATACATATAAGTAAACAAATCAGGATGATTCCTAAATACTTACACGAGCTCTTACTTCATCACTTTTTAACAAAGTTGCTAAATAAAGGATTTTCAGTACTTATTAAACATCAAACTTTCACCATTGCGATATAGTGTTAATTAATTTTGAGTAATTTAAATCGAAATTTTCTGAGAATTAAGTGTTGTTGTAATTGGTGACCTCTTAAACTATTCAGGTTCAGGCATTAGCGTGAGGTTCAGGTTTTTTTATACCCTTGAAAACATTCTTTATCTTTATGAAACCAATTTAAATATTCTTAAAATCAGGGTTTTCATGTGTTCCAACACTTTGAACATGCATCCGTGTTAAAATGAATTTAGACATCAATATAGTGAAAATTGTAGTTATAAATAAACTTCAAAGAAGCAAATACAGAAGTTTAAACAATTATGCCTTTGAAATTAACTGTTTTAAAAAAGCTATTATTAAAAAAATAATGAATAATGCATAATACGAAAACAGATAAGCAAGGACATAAGGGTTTTGTATTTATGCTCATAAATATTCAGGTTGGGTCAGTAATTAATCAAAATTCCGTAAATAATTTTTTTGTTGTTGTTGTTTTCTACATATAGAAAGCATTGTGTAATAAAAAAAATCAAACGACTGAAAAAGGTTCTACATGTTTTACATTATTATTATATATAGTGTTAGTAAATGTAATATATTTTGAATATTATGTACATATAGTGTTATATTAGAGACAAGTTTGGATGTATTATAGATTGTAGTTTTTCTGATAATGTATTTTAATATGTTTTTAGTCAATTAATGACATGAGCTTGTTAAACAAATGTAATGAAAAATGTAATATAATATTTGTTGGAACAGTCACTTATAAGCGTATTATTATTATATTATGAAATAAGGCTTGCTTTTATTAATGTTTTAACAAATCGTAACAGAAATCGTTGATGTAATTGCTTTTATTCAGCAATAATTTACAATGTAAATAATCATTTATCATCACACAAAATGTGTTGGTACTTAACAAATAAAATAACGTATTCAAATTGACAACCAATCAAAATTACTTATTCAAATTGTAAGCCAATCAAAATTACGTATTGAACTTGTTAACCAATCAAAATTACGTATTCTGATTGTTAACCCTTTATTTGCTGGAGCCGGAAGTGATAACCATTATGACCTGGCCCTATACCATTGGTTTACCCACTTGAAATTTTCATCTCTATATACCTAAAATTGATCATGGGCAATTCCAAAAGTGGAAGGTGGGCAGTCAACTTAAGAAATAGGTTAGGAGTCACTCCAACTTTCACATACAATGTATATGAATATTTGATATTATAATTTATGCATTTCATTATGTTTGTTTTATGCTCATTGTTTGATTTACTAAATGGAGAGCAAGATAATTGTTACTATGGAAACTATACAAATTCTACCTCAATATGTATTATATGGTTTTGTTATTTCTAGAGTTTTAGTGATGAATGGGTGTTGTTGACGTGTTCTTTGTTAAATCATTTATTTAAATCTATTTATGAACTGATTTTAATTATGTATCATACATGATTTGGCGTTATTGTTTCTCAAACTAAATATTACTGTCTTGAGAACAAGAAACCGAACTAAAGGGAGACAACCTCAAAAAAATGTTAGGCGTTTAGGAAACCGATGCGTTAAAATTAGTTATGAGATTAGTTTTAGTAAGAGGAAAACTGCTCGATCAACAAATTGATGTTTTAACAATAAAATACAATGCAATATGACATTTTCGTTTTAAAATACACTCGTTATCTACTATTTATATATATAGTATTTTATACAGTATTACATTCGGCAGTACACCTTTTTACAGCATCTATTTTACTAATATTACTGTAGATTTTTATTGGTTAATTCTATGAACGGGCATTGAATATTTTTAATATAATGGTTTTAAACGAGACTCGCTTTTATTTATATCTCGTTACGTGATTGGTTGTTGAAATATTTCACTGGGTGACGTGCATATTTTGTTAATAATCGCGTGAACTTTGTTGGATTTCTTTGATGGATGAGAGATACTGTTGCAATATTTAGATATTGTATCAATATTTATATTTTTAGAAGAATACATGTGTTGATAGTCATGATGTGAACTTGAGAAATGATTTTATATATAATGTGCTGTGTTGTGCATGTCAAGAAAATTTCTTTCTTTATATCTGTGCTGTGTATGTCACGAATTCTTTATAACTGTGCTGTGTATGTCACGAATTCTTTTATAACTGTGCTGTGTATAACTGATGTGTGCTTTTGTCTGTATTTTTCAGTGCTTTGTATTCTTTTTGAATATCCTGTATTCTTACGAACGCTGTAGTTACAAGTTTGTTCTACTCTTAGTGCTGATATTGAATACGTGTTGTATATTGTGTTTTGTGATTTAGTGCTTCTGAATTCCATAAGAGTTACATTCTTTGTTCGATGAAGAAAAAAAAAACAGTGAGAACTTATTTTTTTCATTATTGTTGAAAACTTTTGGTTTCATAAAGTTTTGAAAATGATCTTGTACAATCAGATGTGAAATATGGTTTTGTTCAAAAGAGTTTCACAACCTGTTAAATGTATGTTTTGACAATTATATATATTTCCAGCAGTTCAGTGCTTACCAAGTTAGTAAAACATTTTATGTTCATGAAATTCGTTATGATTTTTCTTAAATAAAATAACTCATACATAAAAGTATCATACAACATACATCCTTAAATAATTTCATGGCCAATTTGTTTCGCTTTGAGATTGACCTTTCAACCAGTAGTACCAAGAATTCCAATTCTGAGAGGCATGAGTACTTGTCCAAACTGCATAAATGTGCGGGCCACACTGCATGAATGTTTAGGTTTGAATTAAAATTATTAAATGTTGAATTCTGCTTGAGCCGGTGCTGCTAGAGGGCGTGGACTGTAACTTGCTGTTTCCATTACCGTCAATGAACAGACTCAACCAAACCGGGTCTGCAACATTTTCAATTTTGTCATTGTGGGCGTTCTTTAAGGATTCCGTTTTTCTCTAATTTACTATACTTTGGAGTTATAGAATTCTTATTATTGAATCTTGAACTCCGAAGGTTAATACCATAATGTGTAAAAATCGTATGAAATTTGCAGGAAAAACAACAATTACAAAAAAACATGGCATTTATCAATGAAGCATTTTTATAGGTATCGAATGTTCAGAATATTAATTGTTTGAAAGCTTGGTACACCGGCAAGTTTAGTGCTTTTTCAATATATTACAAATGTATATCCACCTTTCCTTTTGTCATATAAATAATTCCTTTTCGTACATTTAGCAACATATAGATTTATCCTACGAATATTTCAGGCTATTTCAAAGGTCAATTAGGATCTACATTAATTTTTCTTTAGTATTCAAAAGAAAGCTAAGAAATAGTAGTTAAAACATATTATGCATGCATATGAATGTTGGTAATAATGTTGAATGTGGTTAATAATAAAATACTTTGGAAAATCTAATTTAGCTGTATATGCATTGCAATTAATCTTTCTGTGTCAAACAGATCAAAAAGGCCTGTTTTAAATAAGTTTATATGCGAAGAACGATACTTACTAATAAAGGTTTTATTTGTTTAATTTGTGTTTTGCACGTATCCTCTATGATGCTGTACCCTTCTCCTTTCCTTCCTGATATGTATTTATGTTGATACGGATGATTAACCTTGAACCGTGTTGAAGTATATGTCGTGTAATTGTGTATATATGCTGAAAGTGGGTGTTGAATTTGTACACGGGAGCTGAGATACGGTTTTCGTAGTCATGTACACTTTTCAAGATGGCCGATTTATTTATGGGTGAAATATTTAATTGTTTATATGTTGAATGAACACATTTTCTATGTTTAAATATATGTTAACTGTGTTATTTTTTTTTTTAATGATAGAACTAGTATGAATTTAAGTGTATATGTAGTAATACAAAATGTGTAAATTATTTTGACATAGAATTCAAGGTATATATAATTAGTTTTGAAAAAAATGAAATCATACAGATCGTTGAAATATTATTTTTCCGGTCAAGGACTAGTCCAAAAGTTTAGACGTAATGCGATTGTGATAGTTTTATTGACATGTTGGGTGTTGCATTTCTTTCCCTGGAATGCAAGGTCCTTTTATGGGACTTATCAAGGTCATGTAGTCAAAGTGTGTTTATTAATATATTTAAAGATGTTACAGATGGTTTGTCTCAGGGTAATACATTTACTTAAGGCGGAAATATGCAATCAGCATATTTTGAGATTTGTGACCTTTTGTGACCTTGGAAGAAAAGTACATTGTATAATGATATATGATTCTCTTTGTGTAGAAGCACGGATTTATATTTGTAATATAAATCCGTGGTAGAAGTGAAGAAAGAAAATGACAATTTCAATATAAACCAGTAATCAATCGGAACATCTCGGCTATTATTCATATTCTTATCTAAAGTTTGACGGAAAAGGCCGACAAGATTCGAATGACCAGTGATATAATAGAATTGAAGAGTATATTATATGGTTCCCAAAATATGATGAGTATAGTATATGGTTCCTAAAATATTTTTTAATAAATGAGTAACTTAAATAAGCTGAATTTTGAATATGCTGTGTAAACAAGTTTATTGTGTGAAGTATAAAAGTTTTAGCTGAGTAATTCTCATTTAATGTACATGTATACTAATGGTATTTATTGTGACACAGTATTATTGTACATGTATAACTGAAAGGTATATAATTTCTTTTTGTATTTTTTTTGCAAATTCAGCATTCTTACAAAGTTCAAATGTGAAAATTCAGCATTGTATTTTACTTTGATTTTGATTATTTACTTACATATGTGACAATAAAAATTGGAAAAAAAATGTATCGTTATGTTTCTGTCAATCTAAAAGATCAGTTGCTTTTTGAGTAATTTATTTTGCTACGAGCAGAGCATAGATGAGTGTCCGGGTACCCTTAAGTAAGTAGGCCTACATTCTATTGTCAGGTGCCTGGATCCAAATGCAGTACCCGATATCAATTTGTTTGATCCAATAAGAAGACAAGCGATGATTTATGAACTCGAAGGAATGGTCACTGCATACCTTTAGAGGATCCGAATAAAAAGCTACATAGATGAACGTCTGTTTGAATCTGTGCAGTTGTTGATTTAAAGAGGAAACATTACGACACGGAAATTTCATTTATGTCCGTACAAGTAGTACTCGTTTCGTTTTATACTATGACAGGACGAACTATGCTTAAGCCAATGTCGTATTGAGCTAGGAATACGACACCATGTGTCTTATTTAACAGTGCCGACACGCTCAAAATGGTTTATCCTAATGCTTTGGACCGTATATAAATTTTAATAAGCAAAAGATCAACAATTAAACATCAAATTTGTATAAACATTGTATATTAAAGGCATCAGCCACGTTATCAAATCTAACCAAAATAAAACTGCACACGTGTGACCACGCTTTACTTTACATGTATAAAGGCGGCTATTAAAGTTCTTAAAGCAAAAGAAAAAAATACAAAGCTTTAAAATATATATACATTTAAATTTCTTAAAAAACGAACTTTTTCTAATTTCTAAAAGTAGACATTTGGATAGATTGAAAAATTCAGATGTTTTATGACAATGCAATGCAACGGCTCTTTACACCGATGCGTTTTGTCCAATGCAGAACAGTTCCCTTTGAGATGGAGACAGCGTGTTTTAATTTTATCCTGGTTCCACGATATTAAGTCTCGGTAAACTACCATCAAAACATGAAATCAGACGGTTACAGTCTATTGTTTGTAAAAGGAGAAACGAAAACATTGTCTTTCCATTTGAAAAAAAATGTAAATAAAATGATTTGGCAACAAAGCAAGAAATTCAAAATAGTTCCTGAAGTGTAAAGCTGATGTATGTGAGTATTTTATGTACTTGTATTTTATAGAGGACTCGCAAAATAACTCGTGTCATTCCGCAGTGAATCATACCTCTTATTCAAAATCATATAAGCTGCAACCGAATAATAAATCAACAAATGAAATGCGAACTTGCTTCTTTTATTCCTTGCTACCAATGACTTGATAAGAAACAACGAGATTTAATTAAGAAACAATGTCACGAGACGACCGCACGTGATTGCCTCACAAAATACATGTATTAAAATTCACTTTTGTACCTAGTTCTACAGCGCATCGATTGTGTTTAACGATAGCTTATTTGACGGCTTGAAGCCTCTCTTACAAGGCTGTATACATATTGTGGTGAACCAAGACACAAGGTCCCCGCACAAATATGTTGTTTGCAGCGCAGCTTACTGTGAGCGATCTCATTGAAAAAGGCTAGTTGAGAGACGGGAGCTTCCCCTTTAAATTCTATTTGGCAATGTAATGCACATGGTCATGACTTCAAAACGATGTCATGAGCGGCCCGCACGCAATAGGATACAGAATATTGCTTCTTAACGACATACACCCAGCTCAATCCCAACGTTCTGCAACACTCTGCCAGCAACCCGATTAAACGAATGTTCAGTGGAGAATCTCTTTCCTTTCCACTTGGCGGTAATCTAGGAACAAAGTCCGGGAACATATTCGTATTTTGTCTTAGTCCGCACGGATCGTCCCCTAAAAACGGCTGTATAAGGCAACATTGCTGAGGATTCTGAAAAGAGGTAATTGGAGACACAGAATAATTGCAATGCACATACCGCTAAATTAGATTTTCCAAAGTCTTATGTACATGAATAGGATTCAGTACATGCGGCCTTTTGTCAATAGCATATATTATTAACTTTAATATAAATCCTTATATTCTGCAATGGTCTGTCAGTGACTCGTTCCGAATTCCTTCAACAAGGGCTCGTTGAATAAGTTTGAACCTCGACTTAAAGGATATATAAGGCACTTGCCGGTCGTTCCAAAATCAAAGTCCGTGCGAGTTGTATCTAAGGATCAAAATGGTCCAAGTGTTATATAGTGTAAAGATTACAAAATGTACTCCTTTTGTGACCATTGCAAATCCAGTGCCTTCAGTACTTTGATTTATTATATTTTTGTTTCGTCTTGCATGTTTAAAAATTAAATTTTTTACTATTTCATGTAAAATGTTGAATACTGCTTAAGCCGGTCCTAGAATGCATCGAAGAAAAAAGGGTTTGATTTAAATTCTATAATTTTTGTAGGTATTTATTTGCTAAATAATGCCAACATTAATACCAAATATGATACCAGATATTTTCAAAGTTTAATAAAATAAAAACTACACGGTAAAAGTATTTTATATTTCGCATGATCAACCAATATACCTTTAAGAAAATTTAGGCAAACTTTGAAAACAGCCCCTCATTATGGTGAATTTTAGGGATTTTTTGAATAAGGCATTTTAGATAGGGAAATGGTAAAATAAATGTTTAAAGTGGGTGGGTAGGGTAACATTTTTATACATATTAAGAACATTTTGTTTGGAAACAAACATTTTGCTTGTGTAATTTGTTACCTGAATGTTATTATTTGTTTCTTAAAAATAAGCAATAGAAAAACATTTTTATAATGATGATATTACAGATTATTTAAAGTTTCCTCATTTCTGAAAATACGCCCTTCTAATGGCAAAGTCTTAGTTCAGAAATATATCCATAACTCAAAAAACACACGGTAAATTTTATTTAAATTTTGCATACAGGTGACCTTGAAGACATATAACTGTCCTGTGTTGTCAATTTTACAGTACTTATGGTGCCCATTACCCATGGTCTACCTTAATGTTGAGAATGCTGACATTAATCAAAAGTTTAAAAGATTTTCCCATCTATGATTTGCCCATTTATAGAATTTAAAGCAAACATGCTTTTTGAAAGTTAACATTTGATTGCATTTCTTAAAGACTTATGGTGTCTGATTTATGGAACACTTCTTGTGTCTGGTAACATGGAACGCTTATGGTGTATGCTTATATGGAACGCTGATTGTGTCTGGTTATATGGAATGTTTGTTAAAAGAATCGTATTGGAATTATTGGCTTAACTCATTATCTTCCAATGGTATGGGTGCCCAATTTTGTACAGTTCAAAAGATCTTATTTTCAATGCATACTATCTAGGATGACTATATTAAAATATTTTACGTTTTCCAAGATAATTATTGAAATTATATGGGCATGCGGTTGCAGTTTTCCTATTATTATTATTATTATTATTATTATTATTATTATTATTATTATTGTAAACGGGGAACAGTCTTTCGGTTCGATATCACAGGACCGTTTGTGTAAATTAAACAAAAGAAATGAGAATAAAGGCAAATGTAAGTTTTATGAATTGTATTAAATATTTAAGTCATTATATTTCATAATTAACGTGCATATAAAATAAATAAGGTAGGGGAAATAAAAGAAAATCGGAAAACTTCCGAGAAATGAAAACAACGGCTTACCGCAATGGTGGTCAGAGCGCTGCTTGTCTTTTATGACGTCAAACCTTCACGTCCAAGTTTCTACCACCATTGCGGTAAGCCGTTGTTTTCATTTCTCGGAAGTTTTCCGATTTTCTTTTATTTTCCCTACCTTATTTATTTTATATGCATGTTAATTATGAAATATAATGACTTAAATATTTAATACAATTCATAAAACTTACATTTGCCTTTATTCTCATTTCGTTTGTTTAATTTACACAAACGGTCCTGTGATATCGAACCGAAAGACTGTTCCCCGTTTACATTATTATTATTATTATTATTATTATTATTATTATTATTATTATTATTATTATTATTATTATTATTATTATTATTATTATCAATAATATTATCACCACAGAGACTAATATACAATTAAATATAGCCAGCTCGATCTGTGATTATTATAAATTGATAATCATATTATAAAATCTTCTGCATGACAAATGTTATTCCAAATATTATATATAATTGTATGATTTTGCGGCTCCCATGCAGTTATATTTCATTTGACAAAGCTTTTATTTCTTAATAACAACTAGGTCCATTTATTCATATAATTATGTCTTTAAATTTATTATCACGGTTTGAATCTGAAATGAACCTAAAACATATTAAGGATGAATGACTAAGGTAATGTTAATTGAACAATTGTATAAATAAATATTCATTGCTTTACTCCCGTTATCTTCTGTCCCAGATAAATAACGTTGCGTAAAAAATAATCGGACGTTATTTGTACTACAAGATGACAACGTCATACATGGTGTGTTAAGAGTAGTATAGTATATTAGACTGCACCGGAAATGAAGTCGTCCATAAAAAATAGATCCAAAAATATTTGTTTTTCCTACTTATAATACTCACACGCATTGACAAAATGTCATAACATTCTGATTTTTTTATTCAGGTATAAAGATTCTTCATAACTTATTCTGTTTAAGGACCGTTATTGATTTTACCAAGTGTAAATTAAGTTTGATTAAATTATACCCCACCCACCTATTTCTAGGTTTTTTTTCTCATTTCATTTTCAGCTTATTTGAAGGTTATTTTACCAATATAACTTTTATTACAACTAGATGTTTATAAGTTGATTTATTTAAATGCACCAATATTTTTAATGCTACATTTTGTTTGATTCATAGAACTTTGAACTGTGGCTTTCTGAACCATAGGCACTCGGTTCCAAAACCGTCTATGATTTTAATTTATTTAAAAAAAAAAATTTCATATCATGTATATAAAATACTACAAGGTTTCGCAGCCGCCATGTTTTAACGCAACGGAAGTACGTTGACTGGTGTACAATTTTCATTAAAAAACACTAGTTCCCGATTCGATGAATAGAGACTTTTGGCTTATACGGGTACCACAATAATTGACTATTTCGCCGTGGTACCCGCATCAACAATATGCTTTAATAGGTGCCTCGGGAGCCAATATTATTTTTTTTTTCATTGTACACCAGTCGATGCACTTCCGTTGCGTTAAAACATGGCGGCTGCGAAACCTTGTAGTATTTTATATACATGATATGAAATTTTTTTTTTTAAATAAATTAAAATCATAGACAGTTTTGGAACCGAGTGCCTATGTTCTGAACAGCTGAAGGAGAAATATTGAGTGATAAAACATAGGTCTGTGGTATATGAAATGAGGTGCTACCTATCGAGGGTTGACTGCAAAACTGTTGTAAGACCTTCTTTACTTCGTACAAGTTACTGCAGTTTGGTGGTTGACCCTCGCTATGACATGAAAAGTTTTTATGATTTAACTAACAGGCATAAAATTTCATAAATGTACTTTAAAATGTCTTACCTGGAATTAAATTTAAAATATTTTAATCCTTGTGTGATCATAAGACACAAGTAAATGGATTCGAATAACTGAACTGTAGTCTATGCATAATATAATATAATGGTTACAGGGTGTCCGTTTGACCCTTGAAATTCACGAATTCGAAAACCTAGCTAAACGCCATTTTCCAGTACTTTCTGTACATAGCTCTGGGGAATTCAGCCTAATGGAGTGGAATAGCTAACTCTATGTTTTTGGCATTTTTTTAATTAAAGTGAAATAAAACAGTTATTTATTTGTAAGAAAATAATCAAATGTCATTTTATAAATAAATTCATACACAAAAATAAAGTAAATACACAAGTTAACACGGAAATTTCTTTATTTATCATGGAAGATGCCACTACAACTGTTTTAGTTTTATTGATTTTCATAATAAACTGTTTAAACAATTTATTTTTTTGAAAAATTTGCAATAGATATATAAGGAACATTGATATTTTTCGAATACATCAACTTTTTTAAACTCAAACTGTAAAATAATGATAGAAAAATAGATATATCATGTATTAGTGTTATGTACTTCATTTGGTATAATTCCCCAGAGCTAAACACATAAAGTACCGGAAATTGGCGTTTAGCTAGGTTTTTCGAAAAGGTCAATGACACTTTGACCCTTCAAATTTCCAAAAAGCCTGATTTGACCCTCAGGATTACAACTGGAGGGTCAAATTTTGTTAAAATCATGGGGATTGGGCTTTGAAGTCAGTAAAACTGAGTCAAAATGACCCTCAGGATTTCATGTGAACACCCTGATGGTTATAATAAGTCTTTGATTTTCTTTGAATTACATGCTGTACTATTGATCTTTCAGTTCAAGTTGTAAAAATGACAACTACAACTAATCAGGGAGAAGTTTTGAGGCAGTTCCTAACCAAGGATCCGAAAGGAAGACAGTCCCTCGTGGTTCCTGAGGGTCGCTACAAAGGATGGGTACCAAGATGTTTGTACGAAATGAACTGTGCCAATGTCTGTCTCCCTTTCCTCAAACTGCTCTCATTTCCAGTCGGGGGAAGCAGTCTTGGAAATCTGGTTGGCATGGAAACGTTCAATGCAGTCGGGAACTATTTAACACGCCTACCAGATTCTTTTGGAAAATGTCAGAATCTTGTGCGCTTAAACCTGAGTTATAATTATCTAGAAAGGATTCCATCAGCCATATTCCAGCTGTCAAATTTACTTGAGCTTGATTTGAGTGAAAATGAGCTGTCTGCAATACACCCATCTATTGGGAATCTTAAAAGGTTACGAACACTGAACCTGAGTGGGAATCTACTGGATGAGCTTCCTGCTGAGTTGGCAGAATGTGAAAAGCTGGAGAGACTTGACTTGTCACGGAAATGGTACCCAAAGGGTGGATTTCAGGTAAAAGTTTGTTGTCATATTGGCTCCACTTGATCCATAGTGAAAAAACTTTTTGTAGGGTTTCTAGACTTGAAATAAAAGCCATAGTACATGTATCTAAGTAACTCTCGACACATGTATATATATTTTGTCAATTTATTTGATAGATTGTGACCATTTGAATTTTAATTTTTTAAGGTTAAAACAATATTTGGCCAGATTCGCTACCCAATCTATATATATTTTCCCTCTATTTTGAAAAACAAAATCACCCAAAATGAAAAATACTGTTACTATTTGCAAAATAAATTTTATAAAACTTAACTAGTTTTGAATATTGTTGTTGGCAGACAAAAATTTCCCCTTTTTCTTAGAATGATGCAAATTTCTCCTATATGTACCTGACAGGCTCTAGCCCTCAGATATTTAGATTATCATATAATTTGAATATATTGTATGATTTAGTATAACTATATTAACTTTCTTTAGGTGTTACCAGAAGCAGTCTGTTACTTAACCGAGCTGACTTATCTAGACATAAGCTGGCACCAAGTCTCTACCATAACCGATGATGTTAAAAATATGACGAAACTTCAGACATTGCGTATGAGGGGCAACTACTTGAAACACGTTTCGCCGTCTATATCGGAGTGCCGAAAACTCCAGTACCTTGACCTTACTGGAGCGATGAAACTCAATTCTTACATACCGCCAGAGATTTTTACGTTACCCGAACTTAGAATTTTAGATCTTACAAATAATTACTTCACGGAAATTTCACCGGATATAATAGGCTTGAAGAAATTGAAAAAGATGATAATGCGGAGGAATGCATTGCTACGCATACCGGATGAAATATTCAAAATGGAAAGTCTCGAGGCATTAGATTTGTGTGAAAATTATTTAGAGGATATACCCCATTGTATTAATGAGTTACAGACGTTAAAATGCTTATATTTAGCTTGCAATAAGATAAAAGAGATACCGGAAGAGATTTGCGAGTGTGAAGAGCTTCAAGAAATACAGCTGCATTACAACAAGCTTGAGTTATTGCCTGATGATATTTCTAAACTCTACAAATTAGAAGAACTCATGTTAGAAGGTAGGTTTTAGGATTTCATCAGATGTCCTCAACTTGATTCTACCCTTGATTTCACACTAATTCTTGTTTATGTCAAGTATCTTAAAATTTTGTTTTTGTTTAAACACCAATTCTTGTTTAAGTTTCTAAGTCTTGTTAAAAATTTTGCCTTGATTTGACTCGTGGTATTATTCTAGTTTTTGTCTCAAAATCTTGTTAAAATTTGGTCTTGATTCCAATTGAATTCATGTTTATGTTAAAGTCTTGTAAATCCATACCAATTCTTGTCTGTGTCTTACACTCTTATGAGATTTTGTCCTTGATTTGATAACAATTCTTATTGTAAGTTCCAAAGTCTTGTGAAATTCTGCCCTTGATTAGACAAAAATTCTTGTTTATGTTTCAAAGTCTCATGAAATTTTGTCCTTGAGATTGGATATAAATTCTTATTTAATTCCTAAAATCTTGAGAAATTTTGTACTTGATTAGACACAAATTCGTGATTTTGTCACAAAGAAATTTCCCTCTACAGAGAGGTTTGAACAAGTAGAAAGTAAGTGTATTGAACTTGCTCCATAAGAAATGCTTAGGGTATCAAATCATGATCTTTTTTATTTGATTATATTGACTTAAAGCCTCCAGATGATTAAAATAAATCTTAATAAAAGAAATAGAAAAATATATAGATAGTAAGTGTGTATATAGAATGTATTATTCATATACATGTATCAGGTCAAAACTTAAATGTACCCGTATTTTGCAAAATAATATGGCAGAATTTGCTATTTTTGTCACCAGAATTCATATTTACATATTAACATATAAAAAAAGAATTATTTTTGATTGTCATAGAAAATAACATAAATTTGAAGTTTTCCATTATTTGTCTATTCATTACCTTAGGTGTTAATTATTTACATGACTGTGATAACATTAATTGATGTTTTTCAGGAAACCAGTTAAAGAGACTGCCATTAATGTTAGATAAACTAGAGAAGTTGAGAGAGACCGGAAGATTAAGTTTGTACAACAACAACCTGGTGAAACCCCCACAAAGTATCTGTGATCAGGGAGTGGACAGTCTCTATGGTTACCTCAAGGTTAGTGAATCATCTTACATTTACCCTAAACCTGTAAATGGAGTTGTCCAGATTCCATTTTATGGAACTGTACATTATCAATTTTTGGGGATATTGATATGAAAATTTTAAGTCAGGCAACAGTGTAAACAAGAGGCAACAGAGTCTGGTCAGATACTGGTGGTAAAGGGTAACCACTATCAGTTTCAGCAGAGTGGGGGCATCCGTGGCTTAGTGGTTAAGGTTGTTGACTTCAAACCATTTGCGTCACACTGTTACAACATTGAGCAGTGCAAGTGTTGTCAGATTTTACATTGTACATATGAGAAAACTGTCCAGCTAGCTTACAGAGCATTAATGATTCTACTCAGGTGCCTGTTTGTATCTGAAATAATGTATATAGGGGCACCTTAGATTTTCCTTGTGCAGTAAATCTAGAAAGTTGACATTTGAGCAATATTATGTTGGTGCGACGTAAAACCCAACCAAAAATAAGCTGGGTAAGGGTTAATATAGATAAATACAAAATTTTAATACAAAACGTTTATTACTTTATTCAGGAGTTGAGAATTTGTGAGGCCACTCATAGGAAGAAGCTGATCCTGATCGGTGCGTCGAAGGCCGGCAAATCAAGTCTACGCAATGTTTTAATTCTCGGAAAATCACGACTAACAGCCGAACATGAAAGAACGTGGGTCATGGAACAGGTATATTATCACTGTTTAGTTATAGAAATTTTTACTTGAAACACTTTAGGTTCAACAGCCATGAACTTTGTCACCCAATGGCATCCACTAGTTAAACTTGAATGTTACCCCCTGGAAAAGCTAGAAAATGACACTCTATTTATAATCTTGAATGTCACCCAATGGTCATTCTCAGGTATGATTCTTGCATGTCACTGTATATTGTTAGTGTTACTTTAACTTAAAAGACACAAAATGTATTGATGAGCTTGCATTATATCTTGTAAATGGGTTAGCACTATTTTCTTCATAACTTTCTGTAATATCTATTTAAACTGTGTAAACTGTCTTCTCACGCTAAGATTTTATAGTAAATTTAACTTGTCTGGAGCAATGCCTCTCAGCAACAACTTGAATGGCTGCCTCCCAAAGTGTGTTGTTCTGCAGAGGTTGTAATCTAGTTAATGAATGAAGCGTGTTGTTTAACTTATGCTTTTCTGACCTTTAAAGTTTATCCTTTTCCTTGTGTTACAGTCTTTTATCTGAATTTCAGCATCTTTGGGAGCCCGAACCCGACCTTAGAGTTCAGATATTAGATTTTGGGGGTCATCACATCTACTCTGCTGCCCATCACATGTTCCTGACACCTGAGGCTCTACATGTGCTGGTGTTTGACATGAACACATACATGCCTGGAGACTACGACCTGAAGATCGGCGATTGGCTAGATTCTATAATGGACAGAGCACCAGGTACTTGACCGGTTATAATACAGTTTTAATTTGTCATTGAAAATGGTCCAGCATAACATTACATATTTACAGATACTATTTTTATACCCTTATGTTACATGTTTACAGATATATGTATTATAATATTTCAAATCTTTACTATTATACTACTATTTCTCCACATGTATGATACATGTTTACAAATATTACAATATTTTTACATGTTTACAGGTGCATCTATAATGCTGGTGGGAACACATGCAGACCTGTGTACAAAAGATCATATAAAGACTGTAACTGATCATATACTGAGCAGAATGCATGAGGAGGAAGATGCTAAAATAAAGGTAAAAATCAATGTCAAAATCATTACAATTTTACTGCAGAGTTGTGAACCTTCTCAACATTTTTATGCCCCTACTCTAGGTCAGTGATTAACCTAGAAATTCCTTACAATGCGTCGGATGACGCACATGTTTGAAAACAATGAGTCCTGTAGCAAAATCGATGAGTCATGTAGCAAAATAAATGCGTCTTTTTAATAGCAGATCCTTGACATGATTTGCATGTTTTTATAACAAGCGATTAAGTAATTAAAGTGCATTAAAAAGTTATTTTTGGTACTAATATTAATTGCAGGCAAAACAATTTTTATTGGCTGCTCAAAAATCTAATTTGCATAATTTATATTTTCTTACTACTTATGTCTAATACTGTGCATTATCCATTTTAATTGTTCGTAATTTGCACAAAATGTCCCTCTCACACTGTATACATACTGACAACTTTTATTGCTCCTTGTATGCCTCTGTGTAGAAAGCATACACAGACAGACCTTTTGATCATGAAAAAAAGTCATGCACAATGTTACACTGATTGGTTAATCACCCTGTCAAATATTCTGATGACGTAATAGACATATTTTTTTTTTTACACTCCGCGTGAACTTGAGTGACCTTAGGGGAAATCATTACACACCTGTCAGATTATACTGTAACTTACAGCATTTCTTAATAGCAACATTTTTTTTCAGTTACCGATAATTATTTAAAATATTAAGTAGATTAATGATTTTTTGTTTGCTTTATTGGATTAAATTTACGGTAGTAGAAATGCAGTAGTAGGTGGGAAAGGGATAAGGTAAGTAGATAACTTGGAAAAATGCTATAGGGAAATAGATAAACTCAAGAATATGCGTTATTACAGGGGAATGGGTACCTGTTGCTGTTGGTACCAGTTTTGTCTGGATGACTAAATAACATACAATTTATAAGTCTGGGACAGATTTTAGATGCGCCTTTGGCCATTTGCTGACGATTTTCCTGTGCCCTTCTCATTTTTTAGCGCCAATGTCTGCATATTTCACCATTGTAGGCGAATCGCTCTTATGCAAAATGGACGCTCTGATTGGCTAATGCCGATAATGGGCGGTTACCGATCACAAGCAACAATTGCTTGGGATTTAACGTTTCAAGCAAATGGGGGATTAGTCTTGCACCTGTTATCATCGAAAATTAAATTATTCAACTGAAGAAATTGAAAAATTATTCAACTAATGAAATTAAAGTAATCAATCTGTACATAGAAATCACTACTCGTGATATTTTGGATTATAAACTTCCTGATTTGCATGCGTCAGATTGAACGCACATATTTTGAAACTGTGCGTCTTTTTCGATTTTTATGCGTATTTTACGCAAGACGCACATCTAGATTAATCACTGCTCTAGGTAGTGGGGGCATTAAGATTGTCCCATGTTGTGTCACATGTAGCTCTAGAAGTCCTTGAGCTAGAGTAAACAGACTTAATTGTGATGTTTGTCAGCAAGTGACATTGTGCACCTGGGGTTTCACATGTGGATGTATTCAGTAATTGTTGAGTTATTGCCCTTGACAGTAAAAATTTGCAATTTTCAACTTGTCTCACGTGCAGCCCAAAAAGTATTTGACCTAAAGTCATGGAACTGTACAGAAATGTTGATAAGCATGAGTAGTTGTGCACCTAGAAGATTGCGTGTACAGTGAAATGTGGGAGCAACTGTGTCCTATGGACACATTTCTAGTAACAGACTAGAAAAATATTTAGGTTTTTGTAATAACTAACATAAATCTTGAGATATGCTACTGATCTAGAAATGGTAATATATAAATTGAAAGATTTAAGAGACAGTGTGGTACATGCTCAGTGTTGCATCTAGAATTTCAAAATAATGGGGGATTGTCCCCCACTCAACTGAAAAATGTGGGGGACTTGAAAAAATGTGGGGGGCATACATTTACCTTACACTATGACTTATCGAAAAGAGTTCATTTATTTTACATTCAGGCATTTTTGACAGCTATCGTCCGCTCAAAAATGGAAGTAGAAAAAATAAAATATTGACGAATACTACAAAACACACGCGAAATGACCCAGTTGGCTGCTACACGCTTTTTAGTATGTATTTTAGTCATTACCACGAGTGAAAACAAACATGGCTGAAGCTTTCAAGACACGATGAAGATAAACTGAATAAAGTTAAAAAATTGTCAGTTGCGCGACTTGGCGCACATTGACTTCATTAAAATGCGCGATCTGCATAAAATATGCGCAAATCGCGCGTCCTAGATGCAACACTGCATGCTTTAGAAAAAAATCAGAAATTGTAAGGTATATGCTGAAAAAATTTAGTAATGTCTTTTAGTTAAGAATGTATGTAGTATAAAATTTGTCACTATTATAAAAGATAGTATGCTGTTTGTTTTGTCATTAAAATGAAATTAGGCTTATCCAAATCTGAATTGTAATTGAACAGGTAAAGATAAAATTAATTTGACATTGTGCCATGATTGTGTACAGTTTGGAAAAAAAGTAATAAAATATACGCTTGACCAATGGAAATTTCTATACATATTGTTCAGAATGTAACATTATATAGGTTGTTTTTATATTGTACCATAAACATTTCTCATTTTCAACAATTTGTAAACCACAATTATAATATTCAATACGAGCAAAAATGAGCATAATTTTTTAGCTCACCTGTCACAAAGTGACAGGGTGAGCTTTTGTGATCGCTTTTGGTTTGGCGTCCGTCCATCGTCCGTCCGTTGTCCGTCCGTAAACTTTTACTTTAAATGACATCTCCTCATAAACCACTTGGCCAATTTCATCCAAACTTCACAGGAATGTTCCTTTGGTGGTCACCTTTAAAAATTGTTCAAAGAATTTAATTCCATGCTGAACTCTGGTTGCCATGGCAACCGAAAGAAAAAACTTTAAATATCTTCTTTTAAAAAACCATAAGAGCTAGAGCTTAGATATTTGGCATGAAACATCTTCTAGTAAGTGTCTACCAAGTTTGTTCAAATAAAAGCCCTGGGGTCAAAATTGGCCCCGCCCTGGGGGGGGGGGGTCATTTATTTTCCCTATATGCATATAGTAAAAACTTAAAAAATCTTCTTTTAAAGAACCCAAAGAGCTAGAGCTAAGATATTTGGCATGAAACATGTTCTAATGGATGTCTACTAAGTTTGTTCAAATAAAAGCCCTGGGGGTCAAAATTGGCCCCGCCCCGGGGGGTCATTGATTTTCCCTATATGCATATAGTTAAAACTTAAAAATCTTCTTTTAAAGAACCCAAAGAGCTAGAGCTAAGATATTTAGCATGAAACATGTTTCTAATGGATGTCTACCAAGTTTGTTCAAATAAAAGCCCTGGGGTCAAAATTGGCCCCGCCCCGGGGGGTCATTGATTTTCCCTATATGCATATAGTAAAAACTTTAAAAAATCTTCTTTAAAGAACCAAAAGAGTTAAAGCTAAGATATTTAGCATGAAACATGTTCTAATAAGTGTCTACCAAGTTTGTTCAAATAAAAGCCCTGGGGTCAAAATTGGCCCCGCCCCGGGGGTCATTGATTTTCCCTATATGCATATAGTAAAAACTTAAAAAAACTTCTTTTAAAGAACTCAAAGAGCTATGGCTAAGATATTTAGCATCAAATATGTTCTAATAGGTGTCTACCAAGTTTGTTCAAATAAAGCCCTGGGGTCAAAATTGGCCCCGCCCCGGGGGTCATTGATTTTCCTTATATGTGTATAGCAAAAACTTAAAAAATTTCTTCTTTTAGCAAGAGTTAAGATATTAAGCATGAAACATCTTTTAGTGAGTGTCTACAAAGTTTGTTCAAATAAAAGCCCTGGGGTCAAAATTGGCCCCGCCCAGGGGGTCATTGATTTTCTTTATATGTGTATTATAGCAAAAACTTAAAATCTTCTTCGAAAAAACCCAAATAGCTAGAGTTAAGATATTAAGCATGAAACATCTTCTAGTAAATGTCTACAAAGTTTGTTCAAATAAAAGCCCTGGGGTCAAAACAGGCCAGGCCCCAGGGGTGTCATTGTTTTTAACTATATGTATATAGTAAAAACTTAAAAAAATCTTTTAAAAAGCCCAATGAGCTAGAGCTTAGATGTTTAGCATGAAACATTTTCTTATGGGTGTCTACCAAGTTTGTGCAAATAAAAGCCCTTGGGTTAAATTGACCCTGCAACATTGAAGGGGGGTGGGGGTTGGGGGGACTATATACAGGTGAGCGACCTCAGGGCCATCATGACCCTCTTGTTTAATGATATGGTATATGATTTTATGATGTAGAAATAGTATGTTATATGTTTTTTTAGCATATAGAAATGGTATGGTATATGTTTCAGGATTTGGAGATGAATCTAAGGATAGAACAGAGAAAGCTAACTGATGCTCATAAAGAATCCGGTCAGAAATTCCCCGATCTGGTGACACAGAGGTTACAGGAGCGTGTCAACAAGATGCAGAAACTTCATATAACAAGGATCAAACTTCCAACAGAGATCTTTGTAGTCAGCTGTGCAGAGACCCTATCAGGTACCTTCATAAACACTTAGCCATAAGAAAAATGTTGATAGTTCAAAGTAATTTAGAACAAACATTTATACTATGAGCAATAATATTTTGTTTTAGAAGAATTAATCTGCTTTTTATATATATACATTATTAGCATTATTAATAGTATAACAGACCTTCTATTACAGATGATTTCATTTAAATAAATTCCTTTGCATAAAAAAAAAGAATCAAACTTTGGTGGAGTCTTATGTAGGGTTTTAGTAGTGTAAGGGGAACTCTTATTCAAACTCAAATTCAACATGTACATTTCAGGGATCATAAACTTTCATGAGTGTCTGACAGACACCCTGAAGTCATCGGAAGGTCAGCCATTGCCCACATCCTGGTTCAAATTTCTTACTGCAATACAGGAAAGGCCGGAGAAGATACTGAGTTGGTCGCAAACGTTGGAGATATTTGAGTCAATAATAGCCACATTGAAACAGTCCATGTATATGCTGCAGGGGTCAGCAGAGAAAAGTCTAGAAATGGTGTTACGCTATCTTCATGTCACAGGTAATCAATTACTGCCATGTTTAAGGAAAAGCCCCAATGGGTGTGTGTTTTTGAGTAGTTAAGGTTCCTGCTTATTTAGAACCACTTGCCCCCTTGCTGCTCTGGGTTTGAACCTCAGCAGGATATTTGGATTCTTTCATGTGAGAAAGTTGTTTTGCTAGTTTATGAATGGCTGGTGGTTCTACTCTCTGGTGCTGGCATTTGTTTGGAATAATGCACAGAGAGGTAATTGTGGTGTTACTTTCAGTCATCACTGCTATGAAATGTGTTTGTTATGCAACAACAGTTTAGTGTAAGAGATGGACACATGCTTCTGTATATGTTTTAGGTTAATTTTCATAATTTCTAGGCTTCTAAGTAATTTAATTGATTAAAACAATTGATATATTGTGTATGGATTATTGATCAACAGAAAAATATTAACGATACATTGATATCGATGTCATTTATATCGATGACAGTTCTCAAAATATGACGTTGTATAATTTATTTTACAGGAGAGATCGTCTGGTATCACGATAATCCGAAGCTACGTAATATTGTGTTCCATCACCCGGAGACCCTCGTTGAAATGTTGAGAGCTATATTTAGACACGATTTTAGAGAGGTAGTTAACTATGTAGATACGTACGGCCAGATGACAGGTATGTAGAACTTACTTAAAGACCCAAAATATTAATTTCATTGGCATTATGTGCCTTTAACTTTATATGTTTGATATATGTTTATTTATACATTGTGTATGTGCCTTTATTAATATTTGCCACGGGAAAGCTATGTGGGCGAGTCATTCCAGAAAACTGTTAGTAATTTTAATTATGAAGTTAAGTTTAATGGATCTTCCTGGCAGAAATTTTGATGGTATAAAAGGTCCATAACATAGGATCTCATTTTTTAGATAAGAATAAGTAGAGCTATTGCAGTCACCCGAGCGTCGGCGTAACCACTTATGTTAAAGTTTTTGTAATAGTTCAAATATTTTCAAAGTCCATTGACAAATGGCTTTGAAACTTTGCACACTTGTTCACCATCATGACCCCAACCTGTAGACAGGAGGAGGTAATTCTATCAAGCATTTTGACAGAATTATGCCCCTTTTTCGACTTAGAATTTACGTAAAAGTTTTTGTAATAGTTAAAATATTTTCAAAGTCCATTGACATATGACTTTGAAACTTTGCACACTTGTTCAACATCATGACCCCAACCTGTAAACAGGAGGAGGTAACTCTATTGTGCATTTTGACAGAATTATACCCCTTTTTCGACTTAGAATTTATGTTAAAGTTTTTGTAATAGTTCAAATATTTTCAAAGTCCATTGACATATGGCTTTGAAACTTGCACACTTGTCAAACATCATGACCCCAACCTGTAAACAGGAGGAGGTAACTCTATCAAGCATTTTGACAGAATTATACCCCTTTTTTCGACTTAAAATTTTATGTTAAAGTTTTTGTAATAGTTTTCAAATATTTTCAAAGTCCATTGACATAATGACTTTGAAACTTTGCACACTTGTTCACCATCATGACCCCAACCTGTAAACAGGAGGAGGTAACTGTATCAAGCATTTTTTTTACTATCAAGCACTAAGAATAGTCGAGCGTTGCTGTCCTTCTGACAGCTCTTGTTTAGCTCACCTGTCACAAAGTGACAGGGTGAGCTTTTGTGATCGCTTTTCGTCCAGCGTCCGTCCGGCGTCCGTCCGTCGTCCGTCTGTTCGTAAACTTTTGCTTTAAATGACATCTCCTCATAAACCGTTAAGCCAATTTCATCCAAACTTCACAGGAATGTTCCTTTGGTGGTCACCTTCAAAAATTGTTCAAAGAATTTAATTCCATGCAGAACTCTGGTTACCATGGCAACCGAAAGAAAAATCTTTAAATATCTTCTTTTAAACAACCCTAAGAGCTAGAGCTAAGATATTTGGCATGAAACATCTTCTAGTGAGTGTCTACCAAGTTTGTTCAAATAAAAGCCCTGGGGTCAAAATTAGCCCCGCCCCAGGGGGTCATTGATTTTCCCTATATGCATATAGTAAAAACTTAAAAAATCTTCTTTTAAAGAACCCAAAGAGCTAGAGCTAAAATATTTAGCATGAAACATGTTCTAATGGGTGTCTACCAAATTTGTTCAAATAAAAGCCCTGGGGTCAAAAATTGGCCCCGCCCCCGGGGGTCATTGATTTTCCTTATATGTGTATGGCAAAAACTTAAAATCTTCCTTGATAAAACCCCAAATAGCTAGAGTTTAGATATATAAGCATGAAACATCTTCTA